AGAACGGTGAGAGGTCATGGCACGCACACCGCATGCACTGGTCGATGTTTTCTGGAAGCCTGCGTGTCTCACCGCATGCAAGGGAAGCGATGTAGAGCGATGCAAAGCGATGCAAAGCGGTGCGAGAGGTGCATAAGTTGCGAGAAGAAGAGAGGAAGACAAGAAAGGAAAAAGGCAAGTCTGCATTGTCTTGTCTGGGCTGCAGGAAGGGCCCATCGCTGGTATCTTACCATGGAGGCGGTGAGAGCCACTTTTCACCCATTTGACGCACGATGCATGAATTGCACAAACGAGATGAACAAACGGGTGTTTTTTTCAATGTGCGTCACACGTCCGCGTGTCTTGTCAGCCGCTCCAACGTGCGACTTCATGCACCTGTTATGATTGTGACGTGCATGGGGCGAAGAGCGGCTTCACAACCACATAAAATGGCGGTGACGGTTCTTCTTTTGAAACAAACGTCGCGAAAAGGCCTCGACAAATCTTCAAAGGCATCGCCACATGACCACCGCCTATGCATATGAGCCGTGCTATATCTGGATACCCTGTATTCTGTACGAATTAGGGATTGGTAAGATACCGGGTAGCAGAAGCAGGACGATGCCCAAACTTTGGTCTGGCCGTGTCCATGCTGGGCCGAGGAGAAATGAAAGATCCACGGTAGATCTGGGTTATTGACGGACGGCTGGTTCGCTCCCTTTTGCCGTTTCTTTTTTCCTTTCTTTTCATACCAGGGCCCGAGCAAACAGGCGATGTGACGGTACGCTAATTTCTCACAGAGTGACCTGTTTGCAAATACATGTACGTGGTGTTGTCTCCCGCAGGATCTTTTTTTGTTTCTTCCAGTCTTGTCTCTTGGTCGCTCGCAAACGATTACAGGCACTTTGTTTACACATGGCACAGACACTTGGGATGTCCTGCATCTGAAGGCCAATTGTGCTTGCATTTCCGGTGACAAACGACTGAACGAAAAAAAAGAAAAAGAAAAAAAAGAAAAAGAAAAAAAAACGAAAACCGTACGGTTACACAGCGGGATATCTGCTCCTGCATGCTGTGCTTCCCGCGCCCAACATGTGCTTGTAGCTGTGTGAGGCTCTGCCTCTTCACCTCTCCTTTTTTGGCCCTTTATTCGGGTGTCACGGAGAAAGTGGGCTCTCTTCCCGTACTTCTCAGCGAGACCGTACATTATTGCTTCCCTCAACCCTTTTGGTCTCGTCTGATGCCCAAAGGATGCAAAGGATTGCCTCATATTTCTCATTTATCTTTCAGGACTGGTGACACTGATCACAGTCACATTCCTTTGCTCGCTGTCTTGTCTTTCTCCTCTGTCTTGCATTGGTGAACTCTGTCCAATGAAGGCGGGCAGGGTACGAATTATAGCACGACCTATTTGACAAAAGAAGAAAAGCCAACCCAGAACGTCCACCAGCACTACGCCGTTGGGATATGTAAACAGAACCGTTTCAGGCCACAGTGCCAGTCCGAGACTGGCCCAAAATCAGGTCCGAAGTGTAGACTGGTCCCTTTATTTTCTTAAACCATTGGAATAGCAAAGCAAGCCCAAGACAAATTCCCCAACGATTTAAATTCGTACCTCGTTTTTCAAAGAGCCGTATCACCACTTCTCCTTCGGGCTGTTACTGATGAGTTTTGGCGATACAGAGCCAGATGGGGCCTGACGCACTCCGTATGTAGTCAAGGATGCACCACGTAGTACCTGTAGGTTGTGAAGAGGACAGAAAAACCTCTCCATGTTTCGCTTCCCGCTCGTCACGTTTTCCTTTTTATTGCTGGCATTGACGGATCGGCACTGCCGCGGATAACGGTCGACGTCTCCATTTGCACATCTAGACCTTTGTCACTTCCATCCTCTTCGGATGTATTTCCCTAAATTGTCGGGATACTGCATGTTTGCCTCGTCTTCAAGACTGTTTGGCCCGGACGTGTTCTTTGACCGCTCGTTTGTTACTGTCTCAATTTCTTTTTTGTTCCTTTCTGCTTCTTTCTCTTTGGCAGGATATCGTTTGAGCATATTGACTTCTTTGTATGTTCGCGGCCGCGTCGTGCCGACAAGCAGAATCCACCCACACTTTATTCTGTACTTCGTACCAAGCACCAAATACCCACGCTGTCGGTTCCAGCGGTCTGGCGGATCTTGCTAGCTCCCATGCTTGCGAGTCCGGGAAGCCAGCATTACTGTCGCAGCTCGCATCTTCCCTTTGTAGCTTACGTTTTGGGTCATCTCGTCCAACGGAACGCACTTTGGCCGTGTCTTATTGCCTCCTGCCTGCCGCCTGCCGTGTCACCTGCCCCCAAATGCACATGTCATTTGTCACGACAATGAGATGCCCCGTCACCCTTTGTGTGTCTGTACGACGGAAGCACATAACGGGTGCTTGGCTCTATCTTACCTTGATGGGCATGGTTGTCCGCGTGGCGGTCGGCCCAAGGAGGCAATAAAAGGCAAGGCACTTTCCTTGTACACTGAATGTGTGTCCTGAGAAGCTGGCCTGGAGCCAAATTGAGTCTGTTTGTATTCCCCTGGTCTTCCCAGCTGTCGTTTCGCTTTCGCACACAAGGTTTGCTGCCGATACGAACGCGTGATTGCTGCAGGAGCCGCCGCCACACCAATTCCAGACAGCTTCTTGAGCTCGTTGAGCTCCCTGAGCTTCCCCTCTTTCGGCCCTCTTTGCAGTCTCACGCGGCCGTCCCGCCTTGGTATTTGTATTCTAGTCTTGATGGCAGACCAAGGCGTCGCTACGTCAGGTATTGTGAGACGGTCTGTAATGTAATTACTGGGCTAACCGTCACCCCATAGCAGCCCTGAACCCTGGTTGTGGCGGTTCTTGGTCTGGGGCTGTTTTATGAAGCAATGAAAAAAAGAGAGGCAGAACGGTGTCAGACTGAAATACGTTGTAAAAAAAGAAAGTTGAGAAATCTTATTCTCTTCCTCCCACAACCCGACAATCATAGCCCCAAAAGTGTAACAGTCCCCTCCAGTGCAACTCTGGCAACCTTGCTACAGCCTCACGAGCCAATGGACCTGTAGCCCTCGATTTGCAGAGTACAAAGTATTACTTTGCACCGTCATAGATCGTCCACCGTACTTCGTACATTTATTTTACCTTTGCTCGGTACTGAAGCTCGCCCCACTCTCAGTTTCCTAATCACACTGCGCGCTGGTGCACCTTTGCACCTTCCGTCCCGTAACATAGTACCGGGCACCGCGCGCAACAGGAAAGAGCTACTGGACTAGCGCCTCCATCGCGTTGTGACGGTGGCTGGCCGCGTCGCTAATTCTCTCTTTAGGGAAAGGGCGACAGGAGGCTGGCCGCTCCGTTCCGGCCTTGGTGCTTTTTTGGTGCTCTTTTGACTGGTGTCGCAACGTTTGCTCAAAACGACCCGTCAACCCCTGACGACGGCGCCGGTTGGAAGTGCACTGTGACCTGTGACCTGTGACCTGTGACCTGTGACTACTGTATCTCGAACGTGCTCCGTCTGGCCGATCTCTATGAATCGGATGGCGTGGTAAGATACGGTGCAGTACGACGTAGTATTTCGTATCTGACCAACAGCCGTATTCCAATGACCGTCTGCCAATCGCTCCTGCTCAACTCTCCCTTTTCCGTTCGTCGTTCTTGCCTGCCCGTTTGCGCCCGTTCTTGCCCTCTCCCGTCGCCTTTTGCTCCTTCCTTGCACTTGGGCACCAGCGCCCACCTTGCTCCGCACCTTCTCTCTTCTCCACCCCTGCCCCCTGCCCCCTGCCCCCTGCTTCCCTATTCCTGTGCACCGTTATCCACGTCCAACCTTTTCCTTGCCTCCCCGTTCTCTCTCTCCTTTCGCCGAGCCTCAGTTTCGCACTCTCGCACTCGCGCGCACTTCTCTCGACCGCGCGCACCGACTGTCGCATCTCTTCCGTTTTCTGTGCCTGGCTCGCCGCCCCAGTCCACCTCCCTCTCATCTCCGCCGGTCGCTCGCCTCGTCCCCCCCCCCCCCCCCACCTCCGTCTCTCTTCCTCGTCGATTTTCTTTCCTCAGTTTCCCACGACTTTTGCTCGTCCAATTCCGCGTCGTCTGTGTCCATCCGAGCTTCTGAGCTGTATTACCGCCCTGCCGTCGCTCTCACGCCCCGGTACCACCCTGGCCTGGCGTCTGGCCCTTCGTCTCGGCTCCTACAGAGCGCCCCATACTGAGTCCTGCACCTGCTACATAATCTTACCACGTTCTGCTCGCACGCACGCCTTGTCGGCTGTCCCTAGCCGGCCCTAGCAGAGCCTGTTCGATTCGTTTGGTTTTTGTTTCCTACACAGTAGCTTATTTTATTTATTATATACTGTGTATTATTATTATTTTATTATTTTTTTTGGCCCTGCGATTCCACCCTCTCACCACTCCGTCTGCTTTTCCTCGTCCAACTCGGTCGCACGCCGTCTGGTCTCCTCTTCTCACCCATCGTGGCCTGGCTCTTTTCTGCTCTCCTTGTCCACACCCCCCTTTCCCTCACACCTCTACCCCCCTGCCCAGAGCGTTGTTCCTGTCTCTGGCCGCCCCAGGATCTCGCCAGCAGGAACGGTACTGCAAGCAACTGCAAGCAACTGCAAGCAACGGACGCAGAACAAAAGAAGAAAATAGCCAAAACGAAGCTAAACTGAGAGACATATGCTCCAACGTGCCACCGTCCTTTGTCGACCGTCTCCCCCCCGTCCGTCCACCCCCCTCGTGCCTAATGGGCGCGCCTGTTCTGTCTCTGTCCCCTTTGTTGCTGCTTGTGGCCGTGGAGGTCGCCTTGTGCTCCTCTCTCTGCCTCTGCCTCTGCCTCACGCTCGGTGTTGCGCTCCTCCTTCTCGGCCTTCGCCGTCGCAGCCGTGTCCTCCTCCCCTTGCCCGCCTGCCCCGTCCTCCTCGGCCGCTGCCTCCCTGCTCTCCCTCGCCCTCTCTCTCTTCCTCGTCCCCTTCCCCTTCCCTCTTCTCTTCTTCCTCCACCGGCCTGCATATCTGAGCTATGGACCACGGCCCCGAGACCAAGAAGGTACGTCTCTCGACCGCAGGCTCATCCTGGGCTTCTTCCTCCGGACCTTCCTCCTTGAACGCCCTTCCGCCCTCCTCCTCCTCTCCCTCTTCCCACCTCTTCCAGCATCACCAGCATCCCTACCCACCCGGCGCCGCGGCGCACAGCTCCAATCCCAACGCCTACGCGGCGGCTGCTGCTCCTCCTCATCACCCATACCACCAACCACATCCTCCGCGGCTCCCCTCGCCACGCACGCTCTCACCGCGCTTGCCCTCCCCTCGCCACTCGCCGCGCTATACCTTGCAGCATCCGCAGCCGCCGCCACAGCCTCCTTCGCAGCTCCATCCCGTCCGCTCTTCTGCCAGCCCATATCAGTCCGCCCATCCCTCCGCCTCGAGCGCTCCCGCTGGTCCTGGTCCTGGTCCTGGTCCCTTTCACACCAACGGACCCGTCGCCCCTGCCTCTACCTCTGCGTCTGCTTCTGCTTCTGCGTCTGCTCCTGCCTCCGCCTCCGCCTCCGCTGCCCTCGACCAGCGCCCTTCCATCGCATCGTCGCCGGCACCTGTGACACCCGTGTCGGCGCACTCCTTCACGAACTCGACGACCTTGCCGCCACCGCTCCCGGCGCCTCACAACCAACACAACGGCACAAACACCAACGGCCGGCTGCTGCAGCACAAGCCGTCGCATTCACACTCGCTCTCCCAGCCGCGCACCTACTCGCCCCACCTGGACGACCGCCGGCACAATGAGCAGGACACGTACGCGCTTGGACAGGATCATCGCCCGCAAGACTTTTATCCTCAGCAGCAGTACCTACAGCAGCCGCCCGACTATCGGTTTCCTTCCCGCTCGCCCGCGAGCGCTGCTCCCGGTCTACCGCCGCCACCGCACAACGCGCCGTCCTACGACCGCGCCGACAAGCCACAGCACCTGCAGCACCCGCAGCTGGTAGACGACGACCCGGCTCGCAACCGACCCGGCTCGGCCTCGTCTACTACCGGCACAGGCAGACTGCAGCAGCAGCAGCAGCAACAACAGCAACCTCCAATACCCCTCATGCGGCAGTCGGACGACGGCGCTCGCTCAATGAGCTTCGATAACCTCTCCCACCCCAATATGGGTGGCCCCGGGCAGCCTCCGCAGTCGTATCCTCCTCCCTACCCTCCCCAGCAACAACAACAACCGCCGCCACCAACACAACCGCAGTTGCACCACCTCCCGCCACAGCACCAGCAACACCCCCCACCACAGCATGCGCATTATCAGTCATATTCACAACAACCAGCACCTCCTCCGCTGCCGGCTCACCACCCGCCTGGCCACATGCAAACAGCCGGGTCGTCACAACAACAATCGCCGTCTGGACCACCACAGGGCTCGCAGCAAGGCCACAGCCCTCAGTACCGACCGTCCAGCTACCCGCCGGCGACGACACCGGCATCCATGAGCCATGCGCAACCACCTCCTCCACCGATACAGCAACAGCCGCTGATGCCGTTGCAACACCACCCGCACGGCCCACCACCGCTACAGCCGCAACAACCATCACCGACACAACAACCGCCGCCACCGCCACCGCACCCTTTACAGCATCCCCAGCAATCACCACAACAGCAACAGCAAATGTCCCAGCCAGCACCACCACCACCACCACCACCACCAGCACAGCAGCAGCAGCCGCCCCAACTGCAGCCGCATTATGAGCAACAGCCACCGCCACCAGCACAGCAACAGACCCCCATGTTTAACCATGCGTCCGGCCCTCCGCCTTCCGCCGACATCCTATACCCGCTGGCCTATGCTGCCGCCGGCAAAAAGAAGGCCCAGCGCGCATCGCAGGCGTGTGACAGTTGCCGCTCGCTCAAAGCCAAGTGTGACGAGACCAAGCCCTGCAAGAATTGCCGTGAGAAAAACATCGAGTGCAAGTACCGCGATCCCATCCCCAAACAGCAGGACAAGGCCACGGCGGACCTCATCGACAGCATCGGCGTCATGCGCAATGACATCCAAGACATCATGGCCGCTGTCCAGCAGTTGGCCAAGTCAGCTGCTGACAATGCCCAAGCAACCGCGGCGGCGGCTGCTGCAGCGGCTGCTACCGCGTCTGCCCTGGAAGCGGCCGGTGTCGGGGTCAACCTGCGCGGTGCAGGCATTGCTTCCTCGGCTGATGCCATGCAGGCCGCTGCTGCTGGCGCCAGCATCCTGCCCATTGACCCGGCCAATGCCACGGCCGCCGCGGCGGCGGAGCCGGCGCCCCTGTCATCCAACGAGGCCGAGCGCATCACGCGCGAGGCACAAGGCGAGCTGAACGCCGTGAGCGATTTCACGGGTCCCGTCGTCAAACCAAACGAGTCGGCCATCCCCTCCAACCACACCACGCTCGCTGGCTTGCTGCTCACGTGGCCCACCATTCGCGAGCGCGTCCACCACCTCCTGGTCGAGCAGGGCATCCAACACTTGCCAGAATACCCCATCCGCCAAGAAGAGCAGCGCGGCACCATCCGCTTCATGGGCCGCGGCGAAGGGTTTGACCAGAAGATGACCATCCGTGTCAGCGAGAACGAAGCCGGCAGCTCCCTACCAGAGACGAGCGTTGCGATGGAACGCGGCCCCAGCAACGTCAGCAACAACAGCAGCGGCGGCAGTTACGAGGACGGCAAGGAATCCGTGCGCTTCCCCGGCGAGATTTGGGGCCAGCTCGGCGGCTGGGGCCAGGTCGGGCCGTATGGCGCATCCAGCAACATTGAGCTCGACCTCGACCCCAAGACGGTGTGGACATACGTCAAGAGCTACGAGGCGAACATACAGAACATGCACCCCATCATCAACCCCAGGCCGCTGTATGCCATGGTTACTCTCTTCCTCGAAACCCTTCCCCGGTCATCGCCCTCGTCGTCCCAGGCAGGCAGGTTCGCGTGGGGCGCCGTGCCGCGCGCCCCCGTCGCCGCGTTTGCAGGCACGCCCGACGCGCCCCAGGCACAATCGCCCACCGCCGAGGGCAGTCTCAAACGGAAGCGGTCGCCGTTCCCCGAGGGCTACTCTGGACCGAGTGGTAGCGGCACCGGCACCGGCACCGGCAGCGCCCCCGTCGCGCCCACAATGCCGCTGCGTCCGGGTGTGCCGTTCCGCAACGCGGAAAGCGCCCTGGTGCTTGCCATTTTGGCCCTCGGCAAGATCTGCCTGCACAAACAGGGGCATCTTCCCGATGTCGTGCCAGAGAACCTTGATCCCGAGTCGCCGCTGCCTACCGGCGCGCAGTCGTCGCAGGCGTCGCCTGTGTTTGCCGAAGCGCATATCCACACGTACAATGCCCAACCCAACAACGGCTACTCACCCGCGCCGTCTGTACATGACTCGCCGTCCGCGTCGCCTGCCGTGGGCCCGGGTCACACGCCTAGCCGTCGCACGTCCGTGCAGGGTGGTGGCGGCAGTCAGTCGTTTGGCAGCAGTGGGACGGTGCCGTGGGCCCCCGTCTCTGGCGGCGGTGCGTCAGCAGGGAGCGGCAACTTCTTGCCCCCCAGCTCGAGCGGCACCGGATCGGCCAAGGGCGGCAACAGCGGCAACAGCGGCAACAGCGGCGGCATGCCGAGCGCCGCGTCGATGCGGCGCAACGTGGACGAAATCCCCGGGTTGGACTACTTCGCGGCGGCCATGGAAATCATCGGCTGCCATGGCGCCGGTCGCGAGCTCAAGCACGTATGGGTGTACATTGTGGCCTGCTTGTACTATGGCCAGCTGGGCCGGCCCATTGAGAGCCTCGAGGCGGTGGCCATGGCCGGTCGCCTTTTGCTGGGCATTGTGCGGCCGAGCATGCATCGCTTCAAGTCGATTCTCACAAAACTCGAGGAATACGCCGGCAAGATGGACGAGTTTGGCAAGCCCCTCCAGCCCCCTGACGAGAAGAACGTGCAGCACCGCGACAATCCGTTTCTCCTCGCGTTCTGGTCGTGTCTACAGCTGGAGAGCGATATTCTGGCCGAGCTGCACCTGCCGCCGTCAGGTATTCTCCAGTACGAGAAGCACTTCCCCTATCCGCGCATCTCCTTCCTCGCCAAGCACGGCGTCGAGCAGCACGTCTTGGAAAGCTACACCGCCCAGCTCTACCTACGCAACCAGCTCAATGACATCCACAAGACTCTGTACCACGGCGACTTCAACGGCGAGCCCAACTTCAAGTCCATCGAGATGTACTCGGGCCTGCTGGCGACGCACACGTGGGTGCCCAAGTGCTACGCGTTCGACGACACCGACCCGCCGCCGAATGAGATTCTGCACGCGCGCCTGCGGGCCAAGTACTGGGGCGCGCAGGTGATTGTGCACCGGTTCTACGTACGCCGCATCCTCGAGATCAACTACGCGAAGCGGATCAAGCGCGAGGCGAGGGCGAGCAAGCACCGGCGCTTGAACGTGAACGGCGACGTCGAGAGGGACGAGCTTGGTGATGACGAAGACAATGACACGAAGACGGCCGCCGGGCCTGCGTCGTATGCGGCCGACGAGACATCGCCATCGGCTCATCGGGACGCGAACGAGGCGATGCCTGGGGGCGACACGCCCGCGCAGCCGTCGACCCACCTCGGGGGCGTCGACAGCCCCTTCTCGCCCAAGAGCATGGCGCTGGCGTTGCGCGGCATCCAGGCGCTTGTCGAGAGCACGCGGGCGTTCCACGGCCTGCCGGACCGTCGCTTTATTATTACGAATGTGTTTGGCACGGCACACGCGCAGTGGGGCAACCTGCTCATCCTCGACTCGATCCAGCGCGACCCCGTGCTCGGCCAGTACATCACGGAAGACCTCGTCAACGACCTGTTCCGCAAGACGATTGCCTTCTTCGAGGTCGTCGCACAGCCGTCGAGCTCGCTGGGCTACGACCTGCGCATCCTCAAGGGCCTGTACGCCATGCGCATGGCCAACCCCGTCTACATTGAGCAGGCCCAGAGCCTGCCTGTGGCCCCGGGCCTGCCCGTGCAAGACGCCAAGATGTACACGTCCAGCGATCCGCATTTGATGATGCTCGGCGACAACATGAACCAGATGCAGGAGCTCTACCCATATGTTGCAGAGGACCCCCCTGTGGCGACAGAGACAACGATGACGACATTGGCACCCCAACCCTCGTCGACCTATCCGCCGCCCCGCGTGTCGCCGCTAGGCCCGCCGCCCCCGCCGAATCCAGCCGCTGCTACCACATCCGCACCAACGGCAGCGGCTGCAGCAGCAGCGGCTGCACCGACGTCGAGTGCGCCGCAGTACCCCAGCAAGTACCCCGACGGCTCGCCTATGCAGATATCCCCCATGGGCGGGTCGCTCGCGCAGTATACGTCGCCGCCAGGGTCGCTCCAGCGGCACACGCAGGCCTACGTGTCGCCGCCGGCCGCAGCCTTGGCTGATGGTTTCAGCGGTGGTGGTGCCAGCAGCAGCAGCATACCCAGTCCCACGCAGGCTCGCCTGCCCGGAATGCAATTTGGCCCACCGCCGGCCGTCAAGACGCCGACAACGCCAAACGAACCGGGCTTCCCGCATCACCTGCCGCCGTACGAGCGACGTCCGTATGAGTGAGAGCAAAAGGACGATCCGATGTCTGTGTATTTGTGTTAATGGTTTTGTGGGGAGTAATTTGTGTCGTTTCTGTTGTTCTATTTTCTTCCTACCTCGTCATTTTTGACTCTATCATTCTTGCTTGGATTTCACTTGTCTATGACTTTTTCTGTTTCAGTATCATCATCATCTTCTTTTTGGTTTACTTTAATATTTTTTTGGGTTTTTTTTGGTTTATTTGGTTTATTTGGTTTTATTGATTCTCCGCCGGCCTGAACAGCCGTGCCAAGTACCATTTGCATTTAACAAGCAGCACAACAAAACTTTTCCTCGGCGGACTGAGCGAGCGTGGACCGCTTCTTTTTTTTCTGCCTCTGCATCTGTTGGGTCATTTCCAATATTTCTAGTCGATTGCCTTTAACTTGTCTTTTGGCTGCATTTGTCTGTCTCGTTTTATACTCCCCGTTACATCACATGTTTTGTACACCTCACGGAAGAAATACCACAGTTGAATGGAAATGGCTTAGTTAAGTTCTTAGTCCAAATTTCATAACATCAGCGAGGCACAGCGGCCTCGCTCCCTTCAAAGCATTACTTACCACGTCTGCTGCACTTTTGATCCCTCTTTGCATTAAACGACGTGCTCTGGACTACAAATAACCAAAACGGAAACGCTGTGAATTAGGGTATGAAAGCTCAATGAGAAGGCTCGAGGACGGAGAGTCCAGCTACAAAAGGACAACAATAAGGCACAGCCATCCATCTGGGTATGCGGCCTCACGCATGAGGTCCTCCAGTGGCGCGTGGAATGGCACCGGGGCGCCGTGCAGAATAACGTTGGCCAGCACGGGATCGCGGCTGCTCGGAAACAGCAGCGGCAGAAGACTGCGCAGCGCCGGACCGAGAGTCTGTTGCTGACCTAGGTGTGTGCGGACAGGTTAGAGACGGGCGTGGCCGATGCTGTTTATGCAGCAGAGCTTGGGTGTGTGGTGGTGGTGGAAACAAACTCACGATGGCTGGTCCGTGGCTGCACGAGCGCCTGCATGACTTTGTACGTGCCCGGGGTGGTGGCTGGCGAGGCCGAGGTGGCGGCGGCGGCATTGTCGGTCGTCTGGGCGGGCGGTGCCGTGGTCGGGATGTAGAGGCGCAGCGGGATGTGGCGCAGCGGCGTCGGTGCGTTGAGCAGCAGGTTGTTGACGCGGGCAAAGGCGGCATAGTCGTTGTCCTGCACGGCGTGCCACAGGGCTTCGGTGTTGGCCTTGGACAGGCTCATGATCTGCTTCGCGCTGCCGTAGCGCACGTAGTCGGCCTCCTTGGCGCCGTTCAGAAACGTGTCGCCCAGGTGCCAGGCCTCGCCATCGGCCACGACGAGGCGCCAGGGCGTCATGTGTCCCGCGTCGGGCCGCCCGTCCTGTGCAGCGGCACCACCGGTACCACCACCACCGGCTCCGGGCGGCAGCGCGACCGGTCGATACAGGTCCAGCAGCAGGCCGACGGGCAGGTTGCGCAGCGGCACGTCCTCGTAGTGGAAGCTTGAACAGGGCCGGCCGAAGAAGGCCGACAGTCGCGGCAGCAGCTGGGCCAGGTATCCGAACCGTGGCACGGACGTGGCATAGAACGGTGGCAGCTTCTGAGCGCCACCGCCGCCACCGTCGCCGCCAAGCACGCCTGCCGCTGCGGCCGCCCCGTCATCGTCAGGGCTGCCCAACGCAGCGTGGGTGATGATCAATGGCACCCGCCGCTGCCACAGAGCACGGGCGAGCAGCGTCGACGGCGCTGCCGACGAGTCCGTGGGGCGCGTGGCCGATGAGCCGCTGCGCCCCAGCCCGCGTATGGACTGCGCAGCCATATATATCCCTTTGCAATTGTGCGATGCCGTCCCCTTGTCCCCTTTCCCTTCTGTCTTAGGGCTGCCTCCCTGTCCCCCGTCTCACGTTGTCCTCGAGGTTTTGGTGCTCCGGTTTGCTCTGCTCTAGATCAATGGTCGCATCGCTGTCGATGGATGGCTCGTACTGTTTCGTTGTCGTGGGCTCAGGTGTGTGCAGCGCCACGGGCGACAGAAAACATGATGGCAACACGGTCGAGGCCCCGGTCGATGAGTGTTCGGTCGTAAATTCTCGTGAATCGTTCAATGGATGCACCTTACTGGTGCCATGCTGCCTGTGAAGTAGGCAGGTGCATTTGGCGGCCCGCGGGGCTGATAAGATAAGGATTGTCGACATTGGTTGACTCACGTGACTCACTTTTTTCGAAGTATTAGTCATCTTCTGACATGTTATATCACGTGAGGCACATTGTGGCCTATGACATCATCTCCGTCAATTGAAGATGACGTCATAATCAAAGGCAACGTCGACGGTTACGATGTCAACGGCACCACGTTCACGCGTCATGATCATACTTGGACATCGTCATCATCGACGTCGTATGAGCTTCACTTTGAATTTATTTCATTTGATATGGTGATATCTGAGTGAAAAATGAAAAATCAAATTAACGCCACGTCCTTCCCTGGACGTTTAAATTCCCCGGAACGACTCCTGGTGCGTTGCCGCGCTGTTTCGGCGCACGCGGTCGTGGCCCTCGTCACCGTGGTGCGCGACCGGGTCGCCGAGGTGCTTGGCGAGCACAGATGGCGGCACTTGGGCTGCATCTGTAGGGTCGCGTGTTGCACCCGCACTGCAATGGGTTAGTGGGAGGTAAGGTAATAATATAATTGATTGTATCTCATTGTTTTTGTAAAACGAAAACAGCACACGATGGCTCTTGGCCAAGGGAAGAAAAGAAACTCACCACACTTACGAGAAGTTGCCGCCGGAGTTGCCCTGGTTGTAGAGGCCGGTATCGCCGCCGGTGTAGCCGCCACGGCCGGTGCCCTGCAGGTTCTGGGCGGCGGCGCCGCCCTGCTGCCGCAGGTTCTGGCCCGCACCGCTGCCGAGGCCGCTCGTGTTGCCGCCCTCATAGAGGCCGGTGTCGCCGCCGGTGTAGCCGCCGCGGCCGGTGCCCTCGAGGTTGCGGGTGGCGCCCGCAGCGCCGCCGCCCTGACCGCCAATGGTGCCGAACTCATCACCGCCGGCACGCGCGCCCGCACCGCCACTGCGGCTGACAGACGGGTCTTGGAGCGTCGGGTCCTGGAGGCCGGAGCTGCCGCCAGTGCGGCCGCCCGTGCCAGACGAGCCGTAGGTGGGATCACCGCCGGAGACGCCGCCGGCCGTGCGGCCAGCGCCGCCACCAGTAGAGCCGTAGGTAGGGTCGCTGCCAGAGACGCCGCCGGCCGTGCGGCCAGCGCCGCCACCAGTAGAGCCGTAGGTAGGGTCGCTGCCAGAGACGCCGCCGGCAGTGCGGCCAGCGCCGCCAGCGCCAGTAGAGCCGTAGGTGGGGTCGCTGCCGCCGACGCCAGAGCTGCTCAGGTCGTTGCCGCCAACTCCGGAACCGCCTGCAGTGCGGCCGCCGACGGCGCCGGCGCCCACACCAGCAGCGCCAGCACCGGCACCAGCGGCACCGGCACCGGCGCCGTACGCATCATCGCCGTAGCCGCCGGCAGCACCGGAGCTGCGGGTCGTGCGGCCGGTACCAGCCTGCTGGGAGCGCGGGTTGGAGGAGTCGTAGGTGTTGTCGGCAGTGTTGTTGCCGCCGTAGCTGTTGCCGCTGCCGGTCTCGTTGCTGCTGCCGCTGTGGGTCTTGTCCTGGACAGCGTCCTTGATCTTGTTGACGATGGAAGACATGGTGGATTGTGATGTGTATAAAATGTGTATGAAATGTGTGTGTGTTTTGTGCTGTATGATGTGAAGATAAAAGAAGACGGAAAGAATCACTTCAAACAATGCGGGAACGTCGTCCTATATTTATGGACGACAAGGGATGACAAGAATGACAAGAGACAAGAACGACACGAACAAGAGACATGGCGGGGGGGAGGCAGCTGCTCGCATGTCGTCATGTCATGCGGAAAATGCAGATCGATGGCACATTGTTTTCTTGCGCACACGCCATCCTAGCTCTGACTGTTGGAAGCTGCCTGGCTCGTTCGATGGCTCGATGGCCACCGGAGCGATGCCGGTTGCACACGCCCCGGGGTGACAAAGAGCGACAAAGGGACGCCGCCTGTGAAGGTCAACGGATGGCAGTGGATGGCAGTGGATGTCAATGGATGTCGATGGACGTCAAAGGACAAGGACATGGACATGGCGCCATCCAACCTCTTGATTGGCGAGCATTCGTTAGTATCCTTAGCGACGCGTTCTTGATCTCATCCGTCGTCATCGATCGGGGACAGAACAAGCTCTGTTGCCCCTCTGGTGAGAGCTGGGATGCAATAAGCGCCACCTCCACCCCCCCCTCTTTTTGATCCCCAGAGCCCAACCCAAACAAGCCTGAGACAGAAGACAGAAGAAGTACGCCCTCGACTCCGTTGGAAAACAGGTCGAACCGACGAGGCCGGTAGATTGTTTCTCTATTTTTAGTGAGATACATTGGGAGGGAAAAGTGGGGTGGAGGAATGCAAAAAGAAATAAAAGTAGGCAGCTCGGCAGGTAAGCTGGCTCGGCTGGGCAGAAGGCGAGAATGGAGAGGACGGAGAAGCACGACCGCGACAGGGATACCCAGGACATATGGGCTTGTAGCTGTACGAAGTGGTGACAATGTTCTGCTTTGCAAGAGCGTCGTGGGCGAATCAAATTACACAGATGACAAGACCGAGACGGAAAGACGACAAGCCAGGAGTACGGGTGATTGTACATGTCGAGATGTCTCTTCGCTATTACGCTCTCTTAGTGACGTACTCCTGGCTTGCTGTCGTACTGGGCATATTGAATTTCTAGTTCTCTATCCTCCTCTTCTTTCCGGGGTGCCATAACCCACGCGCTGTGCTTCCCTCTGAAGCTCGGAGCTCAAGCTTCGAGCTGCAAGCATGCACGTCATCCGCATGCCAACTTGTGGAGCTTTTGAATCGACTGTTGCTAGACGCACACCAAATGATGTCAGCTTCTGAGGCAACCCGCAGCATTCCCTCCGCTGAGCTTGCTCGCTTGGTTCTCGATGTTGACGGGGGCCAATGGATCCATTTTGTAACTTACAGCCAAGCTAGCTGTCGGCCGAAGCTGTCGACCAAAGCCATCAACTGAAGAAACGGAGACAAGTGGCAAAATACGCAACTTCACGTGCAAGCGGACCTTGGCACATCGTTCTGTACCTGTAGTTGTCACTCTCGAAGCTCGTCAGCTCGTCAATGAGTTTCATAGAGTCGAGCGAGCAGGCGCCGCCAACATGCATCCCTGTCTGTCGCACAGTGAGCGCCCCAGGCCGTGGCAGACCAGCGCAAACCATCGCAGAACAATCGCGGAACAATCGATCGATGATGTCATGTGGAGACGTGCATCAAAGGCAAAGCACGAAATCGCGCCAATCATCGATGCGATGGACATGTCGTCGATCGCTTGGATGCCGTAATGTACGTTTGTTCGAGCTCGACAAGAATACGATTTGTGACGTTGTGTTACTTTCTCGACCATCTCGACCCTCCGGAGAGCAACAGTCCTAGATGATGGCTTGTGGCTGGGCCCATAGACCTGGAAGTCCGTCCACGAGACAAAGAGACCAGTTACTGTGTTTGCGTTTTATACTATCGCTTCCCAGGGAAGCGATAGTATAAAACGCAGACTTGACGCGCCGTCCATATTAAACTAAACCCATACAATGGCGCTGCCATAAACAGAAACGTCCTTAACAGCAGACAAAAGAATGAAAATCAGAAAGGGCCGCCCCCACACGCTTCTTGACACTACTGTACAAATCAAAGCCATAAAGTGGCTCGTAATGAACGAAACGTAGCCATATGGTTGTGTTGAGATGTTAGTTGTGTCTATACGCAACATAACACCGCTGTCCCTGTCCTGACTGTGTCACTCTGTTGTCGGCTCTAGGGGGTGCCTGGCCTGTTTTAGCGGCATGTTGTTCCATGTTAGGGCTGAAGGTAAGTCGTATTACAGTGCAAGTCGCGTTTTGTCCAGGCAGTCCCACCTTACTAAGCCGAAACTCACTCCGCTGTATTTTTAGTGTATGCAACAAAACGATATCTTTTCTTGTCGAGTAGTCAAGAGGAAGACGCACATGAACATTACAATACAGGATGACAGATGAACTTGTATATTACACAGCTCCTAGAGAACACGTGACTGAACCTAGTTAACGACTGCATCGTACAACATACAAAGCAGAAGCTGAGGACCTCCCCTTGCCAAGGACCAAGTCAGGTGCGCGGTCGGATGTGGGAATCGTAGTAGCGGCGACGATGTAAGAGTATAGTCGAGAGGCTATGAGGTACTTATAAGCAGAGCGGATAACAAAGTCTGCAGTGTGGGAGAGACACAGCAGGACGGTGGAAAACGAAAATAGAGTATAAGGCGTGCATATTATTCATTCTCATAATGGTTCGTTAAGACGCTGAACAAAGGAAGAACCAGGCAGAAATGGGAAAAGCCGAAATGGACAAAACAAGAGAACCAGGACATGCAAATCAGAGCGCTGTGAGAAGAGGGCGAATACTTTACATTGTCCCTCTACCCAGCACCCTCCACACCCTCCTCCTCTGAGCCGCGCATCTTTAAACCCGCGACCGGTACCAGCGGCGACGACGGTACCCTGTCGCCGGCGGTGCCGCCGTTGCGGGCACGGTGCGATGATGGTGCACCCAGTAAATGCCCAGCAGCGCCGAGACGAGCCAGCAGATGGCCGACAAGAAGCTAAAGGCAACGTTTGCCTTCCACTCGGGGCACGAGTTGCCCGAGTTGATGGTGATGCCGGTCGAGTTGAAGACGTTGCCGCACGAGCCGTGCAGCCAGTTCACAAGCAGGCCGAAGGCGACAAACCAGAGAATCGAAATGAGCAGGTCCGTCGGCCAGTGGATGAAGCTGCCGGAGAAGGGGAACAGCCAGACGATGGCCAGCAGGATCGCGAGGCCGGCCACGACCTCTGTGTAGATAAACCGGGACTGGTCCCACGTCGACGAGCCGCGGACGGCGTGAAGATAGACGCCCGTGAGGCCGGCGACGATGGCGGCGAAAGCAAGCTGGGTAGCCATGTTAGTACGTATGTCCAGCTGGATTATCTCGTGTTCTTGCATGCCGTCTCGAATGCCAGTGACGTACCTCTGCGAGGCGCAGAATCATGCTAAAGAGGTCAACAAGCAACATTGTGGCTTATTGTTGCGAACGTTTTCTAAAGGGAAACGCAAGGTTTGATGCGAGGATGTTGCGAGGATGTTGCGACTAGCGGTGCAGACGGCTGCAGGTTATTTTCTTGTGGTCATGAAGTGAAGGGAAAAGACAGTCGGCAGGCTCGACGATGAGAACGTGGATGAGAATATGTACTTATATTTCCTCCGAATGGCACAAGCTGGTTGCACGTCGTGATCGCGTCATTGTGTGCGCCGAAGATAAGCGTCATAGGAAAACAATGTACAAATTCAAGGAAACGACCGTTTGCCAATCGTGAGGAGTCACCAATGGTAACATGGCGACGTCTCGGGTCGACAGAAAAAAAGCAGGATTTTGTGCCGCCTGACGTCCGTTCGACGCTGGCTCACATGATTCACGTTTTGTTGTCTTGTTTTGTTATCCTGAGGGCATGTTTCTCGCCTGCAGTTTGCTCCTTATGCTCCAGAGAAGCACAAATGACGTCACCACTGTTTTCGTGACACCAACGATGTCACCCTGTGCCAATAAGGAATGCGCGAGGTTGGCCCCCGGGACCACTGCCAGAAGAGGCTGAATTCTGCAACGTAGGTCGTATATTTTGCAGTGAATCGTCAAGCCGAAGATTGCGACTGTGAGTAGACTTTTGTAAGACATTACGACGTGGATGCGCCGTTTGATTTTAGTTTGGACGGTGGAGAAGGAGTGCGCGCCGTTCCGCCAGCCCGTCGAGTACTAACGGCCAATGCTGGCAGAGTACGAGGAAGAAGCATAATTTGAGACAGCCCCGAGCCCGAGTGACGACCAGGAGTCGGTGTGTTAGTTTGCTGTCCGTCTGGGTGTCGTCGTATATAGGTCCAGTTGTTGTTGGCATCCCGGCCGCCGAGACGAAAAAGTGCATAATGTGTTTATTTCCGTTACATCAGGATACGAGTGAAGCCAAGACTGACGAGCTCGTCGCCTCGACATCTTGACACTGCCTCCAAAATCTCTTGACTTTTTGACAAGCAGCACAGTACTTGCCTCTCGCGTGCACGATGATTTGGAAATCCACAGTCCTTCTGGCAAGCCTCGTTGGCATCGTATCGGCACCGTGCTCGCACGATGGCTGCTACCAAGATGCGTCTTCGGCCTTAAGTGCGCCTTGACACAGTTGTGATGTCTCTCTCCTCGACTTTCTCGATCCCGGACTGACCGGGGCGTTCTATTCTGCGAACCTTTAGGCATTGCTGCGGAGGCCATGGGCATCGCCGACTGCGAGGTGTATTTGGAGGTGGCCTATCTTGTGTCAACCACGTACATCGAATTCCTGATCCTGCCGTGCAAAAGTTGTAAGAGAAGAAGAAAATGAAAGGGTGCTCATAACAACACTTTGGCAGCACCCGGACTGTCACTTGGACGGCAAGCACCACGACGGTGTCGCGCACGGTGACCGACACCTCCTACCTTTCTGCTGCAGCAACGGACGTGGTCCGGACGACAGAGACCGACACGACAACCATCATCACGACGCCCTACGTAGAGGCTGTTGCGACGGCGACGGCGACAGTCGACGCCACGGATTTTGCGGACTAGACGACAACGCTCGTGACCGTCACGCGCCTCTCTGGCGGCGACACGATGAGGCGCGTGGCTCTCACGACAACTGTGTCGTCTGTGTGGCCAACCACCATCCCTGCCTACGCCGCCGAGTGCCCCAATGCAGCCGCGTACAAGTGTGCCTGTCTCTGTGCCGGAGCCACGGTCTGCTCGACAACATGCTCACCGTCGCCGGCCGCCACGACGACCCCGATGGCCACGACGGTCACAACAACCGTGACACCCACCGTGACGGAGACGATGCACGTGTCCGCGACTGATACGACCACAGGGCTCACAGTCACGACAACCGAGACAGCGACCCAGCTGGCCGGCCGCATTTCGATCGCGCCGGGCAGGACGCTCACGACATTTACGGACACGACCACCACAGCCACGCTGGATGTACAGACGGTGACGGGCGGTACGCTGACAGTGACCGTGACCGTGACGCTGTAGGGAAGAATCGGAGCAGGGGTGCGGGATTCCTAGCACGCAAAACTGACGATGGAGGCGACAAAGATGGATTCCTCGATGCGAAGGATCAAGTCCACGTTTTAGCGCACATATCAACAGTGGGAAGTAAGACAAACGGGAAAATCGGATATGCCACTTTTGCCGTCCAATTTCTTGGAGCTTCTCACGTTTCCGTGACGTATGGAAGGGGGGCTGCATTTTTTGCACTTGTCAAATATTGTCGTGGCCTGTGTGCTAGCGAAGACAACACCAAAAGGAGTATTGATGATTGATAGCCGTCCGTATGTCATTCAGAACAGATGGGGTTCATATCTGCCAGGTTCCACTCGAAACCGTCGTCAACATACCCAGATGTTTCCGAAAAGACAGCACGGCCCGCCGTTGTTATTGCTGCAGTTGCTGTCTCCATGAGCACCGGCTTGACGTGTCAGGGCAATACAATCACCATTGCAGCCGTGTTGGCTACCTGCTGGCCGTTGAGGTTGATGTCGTCGAGCACTGAGCTCGATAGCCCGTGATGATCTGGCCAGTGTCGACGGTCGCACAGTGGTTCTGATCAGGTGCATCAACTGCAGCGAGGTAAAGACAGGGACATGACCATGGGCACAGATAATAAGGTGCTGTTTCGACTGTCTGGGTCGATCCTAGGCCCCCGATGCAGTTGTCAGTTGTTTCGGCTGTGGTCGGCCGGGGGATGCCGGTGGGCTGTGTGGCGCGCAGCAGCTCCTCCAGCTGGCGAACACGCTTCGTGAGGGACTCGGTGACTGCGTAGGCCGACGCGTCTCTGTTGTTAGAGTGGCCCTTGAGCATGGAGACGGTTGGGTGTAGGTGTTTAGGATGAGATTCTACACAGGAAGGCGGAAAAGGATGGGAAAAGGGGAAAGGGGAAAAGAGGAAAGGGGGAAAAGGGGTTCAAATGCACTGTCGTTGGATCGGGAAGGCGCAAAGGAAGCGACAAGAACCTGCTCTTTTCGGCCGTCTTTGGCATCGAAGCGGCTCTCGTTGCCGTTATCTTTGCAGTTGGCATGCTGCCGGGGCGAATGAGGAAAGAACCATGGAGCCACGATGCAATCGAAGTATCGGGCCATGGATTGGCAGACCTGGATACGGAAGGCGCCCTACACTGTGTCGTCCCTTCCTGGTTCGTTGTTTTACGTATGCATACGTCTGGTTTACGTTGGACATGTCACCTGACATCGAATGGTAAACTGGTAGTTGAAATTGAAAATGCACGCCATATATATGTTTCGATACGATGCCTGCACGAATTCCGAAACTAACCGCTCTACCACGCCGCCCTTGCCCCGACACCGGTGGCTTGCACGCGGACTGGCCGAGCTGCGTCATCACCACGCTCTCGAGGCACGTCGCGACGTCCAAACCGTCGTACAGTGGCCCCTGGATCTCGCACAGGAGCCGGGATACCGAGGTGCCAGTCCGCTCGCACAGTACGGTGCATGTCTCTGGCCAGGGTTAGTGTGGCCACCAACACGCAACTTGTCTCCAGCAAGGAGAGTTCGGCCGATCCACTCGCCTGCACCACACCCGGATGTTCAACTTCCCCCGTTTTGCTAGCCCTGTGGAACACGCTTTTGCTCCGACTTTACGTGTTGCGAGTATCCGACCCTATCGATACTCCCATGTTCCCGCCCGTCGGCTGGCATCCGCGGCAGCGAGATGGACCTCAGCCACATTGCGCTGGGCCGCAACGGTCAGTTCAGCGAGGTCGCAAACCTGGTTGAGTGGCTGCTGTCGGACGGCTCGTCGTTTATCACCGGCACTGTCCAGAACATTGACGGCGGCGGAGTGTGTTAATGTCGAGAATGGCGAGTCAATCAAAGATGGGGCTGTTTATAAAACGGAACACAGGTCTGTACAGCGAGTCACCAATCGCCGGGAGTGGCTGAGAATGTTGGATAAGAATAATGGTGCAAACAGTAACGCTGATAAACAGAGAGCCGGAACGTATACGTTGCCACGCCACGTTTTCCCCTTTCACGTCCTACCCCGGGCCTTTTCTTCACGCTATTCACGCTTTTCACGTTATTCAAATTATTAACACAGTTCTTTAATGGAAAATGTGCCCATCGTAATGTCAAAGTCAGGCGTGCTGACGGTGCTCGAACACTTAATGGTCGTGGTGGTGACGCCCGAGCCGCCCTCGAACTCCGCCGACATCACACTCCAGGTGCTGTCGACGGTTAAGATGTCCACCTCAAAGATCCAAAACGGGGAGTTGTTGGCCGAGCACGTCACCAGCTCGGTTGTTAGGTGTTCGGCTTCCGCCGCTATCTGAAAGATGTAAAAGCGGCCAGCGACCGTCGGCACCGTGACGCTGACGGCGAAGGTGCCGCTTCCGCCGAATAAGGCGACAAACCGGACACACGTGTTGGGAAGAAGCGGGTCGTAGCAGATAGGAGGGTAGGCGAACGCCATAGAACCACTGGTCTCGACGACGGCGGACGCGTCCGGGTTGAAGTGGGTGCCGCCGGGGAGAAGGTTGGTGCCGCAGGGCAGATGCGATGGGGCGGCGGACGACGAAGCGGAAGCCGAGGACGAAATGGAGGACGAAATGGAGGACGAAATGGAGGACGAAATGGAGGATGTCAGCGACGAAACCGACGAGGACAATGACGACAATGATGACGAGGACAACGATGACACCGAAGAAGGCACCGACGAAGACACCGACGAAGACACCGACGAGGACACCAACGAGGAAACCGACGAGGATATCGACGAGGATGTTGACGAGGATGCTGACGAGGAAGGCGTAGAAGACGACACGGACACGCGGGACGGCCTGCAACGCGCCGCTGTGGCGGCACCTGCGCCGAGGAGGCCGCCCAGGCCGACAATATACGAGAACCGCATGGTATAAAAGAGATAAATCGTGTTGAGGGACCGGGATAATGTGCGCTGCCTACAAGGCTCGGTCGTTCTCGATGCCGCTGCCAAGAAAGGACTGTGTTGTAGGTACGGTCGCACAAACGACAGAAAAAGCCAACCGACGGCCGCGTCCAACACCCGTCTATATAAGCGTATTGGGAGCAAGGAAAACGATGTACGGCGCACTCCCTCCTGCGCGCGGTCGGTTAGAAAAAGGGACATGGCCCCTTGCAACACGATTTTCTCTTTTGGTATCAATATTGCCGTATTGCACCGCGTCACCTCGACATGGCAAGGTCCAGCGAGTCACAGCGCAGCGGTATGAGTCGGTCAAGCTGGGTTAGGCCAAATATGGAAATATTGGCAAGTCAGTGGCTTGCAGCGACAAGGATCCAACGTCCGATACGGCGATGCCGTTTGCGTTTGCTTATGAGAGGCGCATGCGGAAATAGAGGCGTGGTGGCATCCAGCTTCTTTTCAGCGGCACTGCCCTGGTAGCAAATAAAATAAGAATGGCCAAAAATTATATATACGTCAAATAAGCCGTATATTACAAAGGTATATTGTAGGAAACATGGAACGTAGAAAAACGTCAAAAATGTATAAAGGAAAAGAAAGCAGGCCTCTGTTCAGGCGAAAAAGAAACTGGAAAGCGTAGCAACGGTAGAAGGAAAAAAAAAAAAAAACATCTCTTTTCGGTCCAACTCTTTCCATGTTTGGTATCTTGCAAAAAACCAGAGAACAAATCAAAGAACCAAGAAGCAGCACCCTCTCTGCCAACTGAGAGAGGTACAGAAACAAGACAAGACATAAAAACGCAGATTAATCGTAGAATTATCATATCATCAATCAACAACCCAAATCCACCTTGGGTCTCGGCCGTTCTCTCGTCTTCGGGACCTTACCCCCGGAACGACTGCGGCGGCCCCGAGTTGCGGAAAAAGTCAGCCAGGTCCTGGGTGGCCCGCGAGGCAGTCGGCTGGGCTTCTCGAGGCTCAAACTTCTTCATGGGCACACGGCCGCTGCCACTCGAAGCAGCAGCCGGGCGATTGCCGCCGTTCATGCCCGACGGCGGCGCCGCCGCTGACGTCGTACCGTACTTGTCGAGGCCAGGGGGGATGTTGACCTGGATCGGGATATGGTTGCGACTGCGGCCGGTCATGGTTGAGCCAGCACGGCTGATAAGCGACCGAGAATCAAAACCGCCAAACCCGCCGTAGGACCCGCTGCTGCTCCCCAGGCCACGAGAGCTTGAATTGCCGCTGACGCTGTTGTTGCGTACGAACCGCGACATCAAGCTCGGTGCGCTCGCCTTCTTTTTCGGGACAGGCGGCGGCTGCCGGCTGCGCGTCTGCGGAATGTCAAACAAAACAGGGTCTGTATCAGCCGGAGGCGGAACGCTGTTCAAAAAGTCCAAAAGGCTTTCCTCTTTGGCAGCAGGGGCCGGCCGCCGGCCGCTACCGGATGCCGGGAGCACCGCGTCGAATTCGTCGTCCTCGTCGCTGAGGTCGATTGCGTAGGGGTCCTTGACACGGCGCGTCTTGCGCTTCGGCATGGGCATGGCGTCAGGCCCATCAAAGATGTTGTTGGCGCTCTGGCTTGCGCCGATTCTCGGCGACGGCTGCTTGTCCTTCTTCAGCAGGCCAGCAGACGAACCCATCGAGCTCTCCGTCACACTCGTCGATGCCGCACTGTAGCGAAGGTTGGGAAGGTTCGCGTCGATCGCGCGGCCGCCAACAGCGCCGGACATTTGGTCGGAGTCCATGGTGGTGCGGAAGGGCGCCACAGTTCTAGGGATGCGCGGGTTGTTGCTTCCACCCATCGCACTGGGCGGGCCGCGGCGGATAAAGTCGATAAGGTCGGAGTTATCGTCCTTGTCGACAACTGCCTCGCGTGCCTGATACCGTGGGCGGTTACTAACCGTGGAGGCCCTACCGGACTCGATGCTCGTCTTGGACATGCCTGCAGTACTGTGGAGGGCTCGCGTGGCATTGGACACGGAGCCATTCATAGTGCTGCTGCGCGAGGCAGGAGTGACAACCGATCCGCCAGTAGGGCCAGTGCCACGGATGAACTCGGCGAAATCAGCAAGCGATTCTCGGGGAACGCGTGCCTCGCGGGCTTGCGGACCAGGGCCACGGGCCTTAAATGGCACCGAGCCGACTGAAGGTGCGATGCTACGCGGGGACCGCGGAACGGGGCCAGACAGCTTGACTGTTGCGGTGGTGTCGATAGATCGAGTCGTATCAAAGGTGCTGGAGCGAGAAATGGATGCTGAACGCTTGTCCTCGCCCCGGTTGTTGAGTGATGACGAGCGCGAGCGGTCGCTTGTCTGGCGAGCATCTTCGCTCTTCCGGCTCTTCACCACGATGGAGCTGCCGTCGTGGATTGACCGAGTAGACTGTGGAGATTGAAACGATTAGCATGAAATTCGCTTACTGCATGGCTCCTGGTATCTAAAACCTACATCCATGTCACGCATGTTCTCGGGTGTCAGGGTGTACTGGATCGTCTGGTCGCTCTGGATAAGTTGCTCAAAGTTGCGCGCGACATCCTCGGGGCGCATGACGGTGCTCTCCTCCGATGATCTCTTTGGCTGCTTAAACTTGCTCGTCGATGACGAGATGGACGACGCCACACTCTGCTTCCGGCCAGCGGCCTCTGCCTCTGCACGCAGCTGGGCGTCCGCACGGGTATGTGCCTGTGCTTGAGCCTGTGCCTGAACCTGTGCTTGACCCTGGGCTTGGGACCGCGCCTGCTGCTCACGACCGGATGGCGAAGGAGGCTGTTCCCGCAGAGGGCTGCGAGCGTGGCTGGAAGAGGCAGCAGCACCCGCCGCAACAGCACCGGCAGCAACAGCGGCTGCAGCCGCGCCGGCCATTGCCGAAATGTTGGAAATACCCTGACGCTTTGCGCTACGTTCGGGAAGCACAAGCTCGGCTGGCTGCGTCTTAGCAGGCACCTCCGGCTTGTCGTCGACGTAGAAAGTCCCGGGCGAGGCAGCGGAGCTGAGTATGGTGACCTTGGTGGGCGCAGTCGTTGTCGGGGGCGGGGGCGGGCGCATCGATTGCTGGGAAGGAGATGGGGACGCGGTGGGGCGAGCGGAAGACTGAGGGGATGGGACCGGCGCCTTCGTCGGTACGGGCTTGGGCTCACTTGGGCGGGATGTGCTTTGGCCATTCGTTGCCAACATTTCCTCTGCCTCGGAGATGGACTCGCTCGTGTGCGATCGGGCCATCTTTGCGCTCGTCAACGATACCCTGGGGTGCGACGTAGCCTGCTCAACGGAGCGCACGTTGCCCTCCTCGGCAATAGCGCGCACCGAAATGCTGCTGGTCCGAGACGTGTTGCTGGCGCGAGACGGAGCGACAGTGTCATTAACAATGTCAATTGATCCGTTGCGCGACCGCGTAACAGGGCTGCGTGGCCCAGCAACATCGATAACACGGGGCGAGTGCACGCTCGGGGAGCGGGCGGGCAGGCTCGGGCTCATGGACACGGGGCGACCATGCTCGGAAGTCGATGGCGAGTTGCTGCGGCCGGAAATGGAAACACGAGACGAGGTCAGAATCTCCGGCTCTTCAGTGAACTCGTCAAACTCCTCCTCGCCGTCGTCGCGGCCGGAGACATTCTCGGTGGCCATCGAGGACACGGGGACAGCGCGCGCAGTGGATGTGGTAATGGCTGCACCAATGATTGTCGTCTGGAGAGGGGGAGGGAAGGAGGGTCTCTTCTTTTGCTTGGCAACAACTGCCTTGGGCGCGACCGCGGTATCGGCCTCGTCGTCGACAGTCTCGGCCAGTGAATCATCAGACTCAGCCTCATGGTCAGCGGCTTCGGGAGCGGAAGCATATTCCTCCTCGGTCTCTCCTTCGCCTTCAGGCTGGACTTCCTCATCAGCCTCTGACGGCTTAACACGTTTGGCAGAGGGCGAGGCGAATGGCGATGTGGACGGCGTGGGGAGAGAGTTGGCTCGCTTGCGAGAGTAGGGCATTTCAGGTGTGCGAGGTTCTGACAGTGTTGGAGTAGGGAGGCCGGCCATGACGGCATGGGAAAAGACCATCAGACTCTTCGGCCGGCTCGGATCATCAATCACCTTCTTCTGCCTCCGACCAAAAGCATCGTGCTCGTCAACGCCGTCAAGCTCTTCGTCGTCGCTGTAGTAGCCCAGGCCGGGAAGTAGGATCTCGGTAACATCTCTCTCGTTGAGAGGCAGAGGGACAGAAAGAGCCAGGCTGAGCCACTCCTGTTCGTCCCGCTCGAGGCCGGGCTCACCCTCTGGCTTGTCACTGTCGTCCTGCTCCTCCTCCTCCTCCTCCTCCTCCTCCTGGGCAGATTTCTCGGCAGCCTCCTCTGTGCTCTCGTTCCGATCATTGTGCGCAGAGGCATCGTCGCCGTGTTCGCCCGCTTCGGAGATCGTTCCCGCAACGACAGAACCATCTTGGCTGGGTTGGCGAGCGTGGGGGCTCGGTCGGCCCAGCTCATACGGAATGGATCGCTGCTGGAAGGCATGGACATCAGTGAAGGGGGACCGTATCCGCTTCTTCCAGGCTCTCCAGAGCCGGCCAATCGTGCGGTCAAAGGCCACGCGGTCCATGTCAACCTCTTCGACTGTTATGCGTTCGGCGACAGGGGCACGGCCACTGGCGGCACCGGCAGTCTTTTGTTCCTTCTCAAAGATGAAGCGCATGCGGTGGTAGGCGGCCTGGCCAGCCGAGGTCAGAGCCTGCTCGCCCATGAACTCGAGGATGGAAGTGAGGAAAATAGCGACAGCCGGCGACACGGTCTCGCCGAGGGATTCGTCGCCCCCGTCGAGGTGCTCCTGCTCCATGTAAAAGTCTTCGTCTTCCTCTTCCATGTCGCCAAGCGAGGAGTACACCATGCAGCGAAGGCGTGTGCGCTTCCATACCAGTTCCAGATCCCAATCCTTTGGTGAGTCGGGGGTCTGTGACTGGAGCATATCTTCGTCGTCACCGCCGCCAAGGTACTCCCTGAGCTCTTCGTCGGCCTGGTTGATGGCATCCTTGGCAAGCTTAGGCTTCAGAACCTCGGTCACAGCTGGACGAAGCGCCGTAAGAGATGTCGAGCGGGCGATCGACAAGAAGTTGAAAAGCAGCTGGTCCAAAAAGTTGTTGACGAGCAGCAGGGCGGCGTTGGACACGAGGGCCGTCTCACCCGACGGCTCGATGCCGTGCTGGTCATACCACGTGTTGGCGTGATTGTCATGGTCGCTGGTGACAATTTGTGAAGCGGCAGATGCAGCAATGAAAGCCGCGTCGGGCGAGATGGACAAGGGCGGCGACATCAGGCCGAGGCCGACGGTGGTCGTGGATGGGCGGTCGCTCGAAATACTCGGTGCTCGAGATCTTGGTCTCTGCGAGGTGGACGTGGTGCCAGACGCAGGTCGGGAGGCACTCCCGGACTCAGAAGGCGGGTAGGCCATTGTGTCGTTTTATGAAAAGGCACCCGTTCCGAAAGTAAGGGTAGGAGGTGTGAGGAGAAGGCAAAATTCAACGAAGCAAGGAGTGAACACAACCAGAAATGCAGTATTACTTTGTGGCCCTTTCAGCTCCGCGCGGTTGCTGTCGTCACCTCGATAAGACTGCAGGCCCTCCCTAGCCGTTTTCCGCTTTCCACTTTCCGCTTTCCGCTTTCGTTTGTGTTCTTTTCTCGTGCCAGGCAGGGTGGACTGTGTTCGTGTTCCTTCTTTTCGCGGCGTTGAACCAGTCAGCTCCGCTGCGTGCAAGACAGCGGCAGATGGTAGGACAACAAGTAGTGAGGGTGGTGTCTATGGCGGGCGATGGCTTGCGGCTCGGAGAGGAGAGATTGGTGTAGAAAACGAGAGAGCGAGAAAAAGAGGGGAAGTGTTGGTCGCACGAAAGCAAAGCTAATAAAAAGAAATCCGAAAAAGGAGAGAATGGCGGTACGAAATTAGGACCGCAATCAAGAAGTGTCAATTAGAATAGTCGTGTGCCTGTTTTCGATCGTCTGTTCCTGGTCTGTTCGTTCTGGCTGAACTGAATGGCGAACAGGGCAATCGGCAGGCTGCAGGCTGCAGGCTGCACATTCTCACACACAATTAGTAGCTGCAATATAAAATTAAATGGACAAGATCGGCCGTCAGGGACAAGGAAGACCAGAAAGAAAAAATGAAAAAAAAAAAAAAATGAAATGCTGAAACGGCATGTTCTAGAAAGCAAAGTAAGGCAAAATAAGCCGTCCTGTCTGATCCGCCAGGAACGGACAGCACTTGCAAGACAATGTTTATGCGGGGAAGGCGAGGGGAGAAGACCATCAAAGAAAGAGCCTATCCAGGGGACATTGACGCGGAGACTTTATGATCGCCAGGTAAAATCGACCTGGAAAAGCTTGGTCCCATGGGTCGCGCAGCAAAGAGAAGGCGATCAAATGGCAAAACGACAAAGCACAAAGCACAAAAGGCGTGTGCGTCGACAAATTCAGAACGAAATCTGTCTGGGCGTGTGCAGGTCGCTTCTTACGAAGACGTGGGCAAGGACTGTCCTATCCCAGTGTCGTGTCGTCATGAACAGGATTTGAATGGTACTGGAAGGGAGCAAGTCACCGAAAGCGGTTGGAAATGGATGTTTGTGCCTCCAAAGCACTTTCTTCCGGTGCCGCCCTGCCTTGTTTCGATGCTCCCCGGCTCAGAAAAAGAGTGTACGTGTTTTGCCTTTGAGGGTGCACAGCATTGTCCAGCGCCCAGGCTCCGTGTGTGTCGTGCCAACATCAGCCGCGTCCAACGAAGAATGCCGACGGGGCAGGGCAGGAGGGCGTCGGCAGCAAACCAACAGAGCGGCAAACGGCGCACAGGGCGTCCAGATCGTTTTGAAAAACGGCAGTCGAAACGATGCACGCGGGTACGCGTACGTATGTGGTGGGCGTGTGTATATTGGCGGTGCGGTGCCAGGGCAGAACAAAGAACAACGAACAACGCATTGAATCGCACCCGCAAATGGAAAGCAAAGAACAATAGCAAAGAAAAGAGGCTGCGTAACGTACCGGATCGGTCTGGGGCTATCGTGACGCCAGGCGCATTGTTGACCAGCAAACAATCGAAGGAAGGAGTGACGATGTCGGAAAATGCGAATGTGAGCGTCCGGGGAAGCGCGAGGACACGTCGTGGAGAGGAAATAAAAACGGGAGAAAACCAAAGAACAAGGGAATAAAGATCTCGATAGACGGGGGTGGCGGGAAGGAAGGAAGTTTTGATGTCGTCTTCCCGTTTAATTTTCCCTTTCCGTTTGTGTATGCAGATGGACCGACTTTGCGACTGGGGGGAGTTGAAGGGGACTGGGCGATCGTTGCTGCGTTCGGTAGGTGGGCGAGAGCTAGGGCCTCTTGTTTGTGTGGATGATGAACTGGGGACAGACAGAAAAGGGACTCGGCCGACAAACGAGATGGCAGACGAGAGCGGCGATTCGACGAAGAGAATAAGCGGGCGAGCCTATCGTAGGCGAACGTGAAAATGGAGGGCGGCGAAGATACGGCGAGACAAGAACGGTCGAAGAAGACGTAAAAAAGCCGAAAAAGGAGAGCAACGAACCGACAGCGTGAATGAAGTGTGTGAAGAATGGTCGAGGCGGAGAAAGAGAAAAGTGAGACAACAGGTGCAGGTGAGACAGCACGCCTGCCTCCCGTTCGCCAGAAAGAGAAAGGAGATGGACAATATGGGACAAGATAATCAGAAAGAGGAAGACGAGGATAGGTGAAGGAGAAACAAGACGAGAAGAAAGTAGAGAAAATAATGAATCAACAAAATTCAAGAAACGTCAACAGACAGTCAACAGGGACAAAACGACCGAAATCTAGCGCTTCCTCAACGGTGAAGAGGATAGCAAGACAGGAAACAAAATGCGACAGTGCTTCCCCTCTCCTCTACGACGTATCAACACGGCTGTTTCGAGAGGTGGCATGGGAAAAGGGGACCTGGGCTAGCATGCAACGTGAGGCCAGAAAAATGGGGAGCGAAGAATAGGGGAAGGGAAAAGGTTGGGTCAATGGTCAAGATGGCTCTCGGGGGAAAAGGAGATGGAGTGCTAAAGTGGGGCCCAGCGTTCAGGGCACTAGTCGCAAAAGGATGGACTAAGAACAGACAACTTAGACACATGGATACCAAAATGGAAAGAGCGACTGAAAAAGGGGGCCCGAAGCCACGGGGGCTGAGAGACACACATGAGGATGGAAGGGAAGCTGAGGAGAGACTCGGGTATAAAGTGAACTACAGAATACTGTGTAGAGCTGAAAGCACAGGTGCGATCGACTTCGTCGTGACGGGAAATACAAATCACACGCTCGGCACCTGCCCAGAAAGGGTCCGGATGTGCCTCTGTCCTCCATAAGCGGGAAGCGCGACCCGCGATAGAAGGCCTGGAGAGGAGAATCTACATAGTGTACTCGACCTGGGAAGGAAAGGGCTCCGGCGCGTTGTGGCACCAAGGACGGGCCTGGTGCGGCAAGTGCGAATGGTGAGGCCTGAAGGCAGGTTTTACGAAGATGGAAAGAACACCAGCGTGAGTCGTATAGCCATAGACGGGGCTTGAAGAAGGTTACTCAGAAAAACGACTTCGATGTACGAAATACTCCGTCCTGCGAAAAGAAGGCAACGATGCAGGGAACGTGGGTATGTCCACCGAATGGACGGCGGCGATGGCAAGGGTTCCAGCTAAGGCTAGCAGGGCTAGCGGGCGCAGGGCCGCTAAGGGACAGCACTAACTCAAATGGCTAGAGGCAACGGACGTGCTAGAATCGACTAAAAACAGGGGGCAGTGGGTATGGAAGGCGCACATGGGTGATAAGTGGCCGACATCGAAAGACGTCGGACGACGACCAAAAAAAAAAAAAAAAAAAAAAGAAGATGGCGCACGCGCTATGCGCATTCTGGGTTTTCCCAACGTCCCAGCGTCGGGTGGACCAGACGATTGCCTGTCGACTTTCCTTCTTTTGGCACGACACGCCGTCGTCCAGGGGTCAGCCATGAGAAGGCCGGACCGGTTCAGCTGTGTGAAGCACGTCAACCCCTCGATCGAAGACGGCGAGGCAATTGTTGCTTTTTCGTACGGAGTGTCTGCGGCTGGGTGGACTCAGCTCCCCATGGCGACCGATTTGGGCAATTCTGCCAGCGATCCAGCGGGACATGCTAGACAATCTTTCTCGAAAAAGGTAATTCAGCCGCGGCCGTGTGTTCTGGGCGACACGAATTGTACTCGGCTCATTGGGGACAACTACGGTGGCCGGAGTGTGTCGTACAGAGGTAATGTGCTCACCTTGGTAAATAAGCTGGGTGCCGGTGTCAACTATCTGGGGGGCAGCCCGACATGGCATCGTGACAGCACAGACAGTGAGCAAGCAAGGACGAGCAAAGACAGAACGAGGGTTCGATGTTGACGACCCGGCAGGCCTAGTCTCGGTATACTGGGTAATTACGGCGTACGTCGCACAAAGCAAGGCCCACGGTCCCAAGATCAGGGGTGCGAGGACATGCTATCAAATCCTGCTATCAAATCTAGAATAGCATCGCGAGTCTCGTCGATTTGACAGCAGCACGTCTCTCGTTCGTTCTCCAGCAACATGTTGTGACGCTGTTGTCTGTTGATCACGGTGGATGTCGAGTCCCGCAGACAAATACATCAAACAAATTCACACCGAAATAAAGACGGCTGGATGGTCGCCGTGCGGGCCGGGCAAGGCGTTCGTGGCGCTGGAACCTGGAACCTCTTCCATTTGGGCCAAGCCGCCATGGCTTGTCTGTATGACGGGACCAGTCACATTTGTCGCGCGCTTTGGACCCTTTGCTTCTGCTTCTGGAAGGGTGTTCCCTGTCGTTGTCGTAGCACGGGATCCTCTTTGCAGACGGGCCGTGGCCCAACATTTACGTTCTGTCCATACGCCCTTCATTCTTGGAGTTTACCGTTTTTGTTCGCTTTTTTTTATTCTTCTTTATACCAATCTTTTCCAATAGCTTTGTGGCCCTGTCTCTGATGCTCGTGGCCTGGAAAGAAAATCAAAATATGAATAAAAAAAAGAAAAAAGAAAAAAAAGAAAGACAACCAGCTCTTGGTCGTGTGGCCGGCGATGTATCTCTCTGTATCACTCTGCGCGATGTAATAATGACTTTACGCAGAGTCGCTCCGAACGTAGCGCCTCGTGCTGCGTTGGGTATCACGTTGCGTCGACTTCTGCACAGACGCAGTACTTGCTGCACATGCCGTCCGCTCAGACCGTTGGTGCCAACCCAACCGACCACCTCACGTCGAGATGCAGTGCAAGCTGCTGTGCGTTTATTCCTGTATTGGGAAGCGTGCCGCTGAAGGGTCAGTGGGCATGCCAGCAGCGACGATCAAAAATCAAAATGGAGGAGTGTTTGACCAGAAAACGTATCTGACCGAGTGCGGAGGTCAGATACAAAGAAGGAATATGTCGCCTCCAATGAGGACCGTGTCAGGGCCCAAGCGTGACGGCCAGGACACCACATCAGCCCTTGTCCAGTCCAAAGCTGCTCGAGCCACGTCCAGTCACAATAAAAGCAGCCTATGTCACGACGATCAGCTGGTGGTGCCGGAGCTCACGGTCCAGCCTCATCAACCTTGTATGTAGACGTCTTTACGCAGTAATTAGGGCATTCGTTTGTGCAGTTGGAAAGCGCATTCAAAATTTCAAGTTGGGCATGCGACAGGCGACACACTCCGCAGAAAGAAGCTGCATGCCAAGATCGGCTTGTCAATGGATATGCCAAAACGATCGTGTGGAAGGAATGGAAGGAGAAGAACGAAAATGAGGATGCAAAAAGGGTCCGCCTCCTGCAGGTCTCACTTTCAAAGCGTTAGGAAAGGGCAGCAATTCGCGCCGTCGCCACCCGGGCATCCAATCCTTCGCAGCATGCAGCTTACCCGGCCCTCCATCCCGCTGTATGGGTGAGAAAATGACAAAATGACAAAATGAGAGAGAGAGAGAGAGAGAGACGATGAGACAGACATGATCAGCATGCTGGCTTTGTAGAATAAAATTCCACAAACGACCAAAAGAAAGCGTCAGACACGCAGCGAAAGGCGCAATCTAAAAGGACAGAAGCAACGGCTATCAATATGAAACGAGGCAGTTCGGATGAAATGACGGGTGGCCAGAGTGATACTAGAAACGGTGCGTGCTGTCGTCAAACCGTCGCGATTTAGCCACAACGCTGTTGATTGATCGCCAAATCTGCTTCACCAGAGCGCGCGACATCGTAAGATACGCTCGCAGCTCTTCCACCTGTAGCATATTGTGATTTGTTTCTATTCTGTTATTCGTCTTGTTCTTTGCCTTCTATGCTTGGCCAGCCCCCAATCCTCGTTCTCAAACGCACTCCCTTTTCGTCATGAGAGACCATTGTTTCACATCCTTCTCGGCTTCGAGATGCCAGTGCCGGCGGACGTTCGAGAATTCTCGACTTCAGGGCAATTCCTAAACAGCATCGCCACCCGCATACGTCTCCTCTCTTCAGCGCCCACGTTTTTACCCTTCTTTTCCCCTGTCCTGCAGGGACAAGATGGGGCGACTAGCCAGTGTAGCATCGCGCGTCCGGCAAAACAGAAAGTTCAAATAGAGAGAGACCAAGGGGAGACACACAGAAAACGTGAGGATGGAGCAAACACATAATGTCACCATATGAAATGCAACCCCAATGTTCCCTTTCTCACTCCTTTCTGCGTTTTCCAAAAAAAAGAAAAAGAAAGAAAGAAAGAAAAAGGAAATAAATAAAGCCAAAAGAAAACGAAAAAAGCAAACCAAGGATATAAGGATATAAGGTGAGGAATGAAATATGTCCTTGTCGGCCCCGTTTCTCCATAAAAAAGCAGCCATGGGAAAGGGCGCCCTATGTGTTTGCAGGGGGAAACCGACATGTCCCCCGAGTGTAGCGGAAGATCTTGCAAGGAAGCGTCGTCCACGTACAACGTAGATACGATGTATGTCGTATTGTTAAGGCTTTTGCTTTTTAACCGTCCAGTCCAGCAGCGCCGTAAGGACGATCCTAACTCGACAACATACGAGTCCACCTTTTCGGCCTGGGAAACTGAAGCCATATTATCGCCCGGCCCATGATGCATTACGACGTACGGATGTATCTTACTCCATACAACTGCGCACTTCTGACCAGAGTCCGAAAAACAACACCATTGGGCACAGACTGGTTCGAGCCGTCCTTGGCGTGAACGGCCCCCCCAACAAGACGCTCCTCTCATCCTCTTCTGCAAGACAATTGATGATGGTACGGAGCGCGAAGGCGGGCGGCTCGTTGCCGGTCGCCGGGCCGGCTACTTGTAACCGTATTGGCGGAAATGCGTCTAGGTTCTCTTTTCCTAGTGGGCTGCGGAGACAGGGCGCGTGCTCGATGTTGATCGGGTCGTCAATGAGCAGGGTGTGCTTGTTTGTGTTTTTTTCTGTGCCCTGTTGTTTCTACATGTACGCTGGGCACGTAGGCATTTCCCAGCAATTTGTAATTATCCCAGCTGTCCATGAAGGTGGCAGCCGGGCAGCTGAACGTCTTTGGGCCTTGGGTGGAACGCACATCGCAATCTTGTCCTATCATGTCAGCTCCTCTTTGCTTTCATTTGCCTTTTTCGGAGGTCTCGAAGTAAGCTTCGTCCAGTCATTTATTTACGCAGTGCAACAAAGACGTGGAGGCCAGATCGAGAGGTAAAGGCTACAAGACTTCCCGTTGATATTCCTTTTGCGTTTAACATTGGCTCGAATTTTTACATGTATTTTAGAATTGACTTTATCTATTTGAGAAGATGTTTTTTTTTCAAAAATAAAAATAAAATAATCAAACAACAACAAATATTAAAAAACGCCGTGCATTGCAACATGGTTAATTATACGTCGTACGATGTGAGAGGACCCTACGGCTGTGCTCCTTGTCTGTCCCCGGCGACATATTGACAACGCATAACCCCTCTGCACATACCCGAGTCTTGTTACCACTGGCTTTGTCTTTTCTTTTCTCGTTGTTTTCTTCTCCGTCTTGTCCTCCTGCCCCCTACAGCGTTCTGATTCCAGGTTACGAGACGCAGTGGAATGAGCAGTAGTCTGCCGCTGTACTGTGACTTTACGACTTGCGGCGTCACCAAACAAGGCGTTCTTCTGTGGATAGAAGCATTCTCTTGTCTCTTGTCTTCTGTCCGTTGGGCATCACGGATATGTTGCCTGCAACCCAAACGAACAAACAGCAGACGGGAAAGCAGCGTTGCAAACAAAAGACAGCGTTTCATCCACGGGAGTCCTGGGGAGCCAACGCCTCGATGACCACCGACTGTGGTCCTGGCTTGAGGACTGACCGCCCAACCTTGTTGCTGGGTACACAAGTATGCAACGGCTGTACGCGGGGCAATGCTGCTTTTGTCTACCACATGGTGCACGCGGCGAGGACGACTGGAGGACGGGGCCGACATGGACATACCGGTCCAGGTGCAGGTTCTCGCGTGTCGTTGCTTCGGGCCTTGACCGCTAGATTGTCAGAGGGTGGCTATCTGTAGCCATTGTTTACGAACAAGCAGGCGCACAAAGCTGCATCAACACAGCGTGGAAGCAGTGTTCTCTGCTCCTGCTCGTGCATGGATTCCACAGAAGCAAACGGTTGTTGGCAGGCCGTAATACGCCGAGCTGTGCCATATATGAGGAAACGTCTACATGTCCGAAGGATTTAGGTATGGCCTGGCAAGACGTTAAGTTTTATAAAATAATAAATCAACGTCACAGACCTTTGCACCGGCATAGGTAATAGGGCCCTTGGGATAGACGACATACTCGTGACCCGGTTGGTTTCCCCTGGTTCTCCTCCCTGTCCGACTCCTTTCTTCAATAGGCCCAACAAGTGCCCACCCTAGTCCAGCAGACGGCCCAAGCCGACACCATCGTACAGTGGCACCAGCCAGGTGTCAATGCGCCTGTCCTCGGCCAGCGCCGTGTTGAACTCGCGCAGGGCGTCCAGGTCCTTGGTGGTGCGGTAGCCGCCGACTTCTTTCATCAGCTCCGCCTCCACGGCGACCTCGGGGTTGTCGTCGCTCTCGTCGGCCACCAGGCCGCGGCGCAGGACGTTGTCGGCGACAATCAGGCCGCCGGGCCGAAGGAGACGGCGGGCCGCACCCGGGGCCGACTTTTTGAGGATCGTCTGCAGGTAGGTTGGGTAGCCCGACTTCTGGGCGTCGATGAATATGAGGTCGTACGGTTCCTCGGGGTCGAGGGCGTCGAGTCTGCGCGGCGTATGTTAGGAGGACCGCGACAGACAATCGCCTTGCAACACCAGGACGGCGGATACGCAGCGGTCTACTCACGTCTCAATGGCATCGCCGACAATGACTTCGGCATTCTCGATGCCGACCTGGGCAAAGCCCTTGCGAGCGGCCTCGGCGTACTCCGGGACGAACTCCAGACCCGTCACCTTGCCACTCGGTCCGACGGCATGCGACCTCGTACGGGTTAGCAGACGGCCACTGAATATAGCAATTTCTCACTGTTTGGCGGATGGGAGTGGCTCACCAGACCATGGACGAAAAGCCGCGGAACACGCCAATCTCGAGGACTACAAGAACATGTTAGCAGACTGGCGCGATGGACAAAAGACAAACAATCCCAAAACGGCCTTTCAGTCTTTCAGAACAGACCGCGGCGTGCACCGGCCAACTGGGCCAGGAAGCTCAGGGCTTGGGCCTGGTAGGTCGAGATGGTCAAGTTGGCCCGCTCGAGCTGGAGGATCTGCGCATGGTACTCGAGCAGCGGCTCGGGCAGCACGCTGGACTTGGCGGCAGCGTACTCGATGACGCGCGTGGCCACCTTGACGTTGGAGAAAAGCGTGGGGACGTTGGCCTTCATAATGAAAACGTCGAATGTCGAATTTGGTGATTGTTTGGCGATGCGAAAGAGTACTGGGCGCTCTGAATCTGAAAGACTGTAATTTTGTGCGCCGCGATTGCTCTAGTAGTTTATTTTGGTCAGACAAAGTCGTGCGAGTCCCGTGCTGGATTCGGCTCGTGGTGTGTCTTTTATAGCTGGCCGAGGTGGCTTGTGTAATGTTGCGCTGGCAAGGCGCAAGGTGGGATGCATATGAAAAACGAGGGGAACCAGACCACAAAGTCAACATATACGCAGTATATTGATGGGGTATGAGAAGCAGCCCCAATGCCAAGGCACGAGCTGGATTACGATGCTAGTGAATATCGAAGGCCCCTTCGCTTGCTGGTTGCAGCGTTGTCTGTCGTTATTCCGCCGATGATCTCCTTCGTCGTCGGCGTTCCGAAGCTTTCGAGCTGCTTGTGCCATTTCCACTAGTCGTTGCTAATGCTCCAAATCAACACATGACCGGCACTATACTCGTATTTCCGCCGTGCATCTGCATATATGTCTGAGGACGCGTGGACTTGCTTGTGGTTTCCACCATTAGACGTGTCTCGGACTGGGGCCGGGCTGGACGGAATACATGGACTCGATTGACACCACGATGCTGAGCATGGTAGATAATGCCCGCTGTGTAGGCTGCCGTTGCCTGCCTGCCTTGAGTAGAATACACCAGTGCAAATGAACGCAAAAAAAACACACAAAGCAAATAATGTGCTCGGTTGGCTGCATCAGTGCAACCACCTCGCCGTGCCCTGGCAACACGCGCGCTGCTCGCATGGGGCCGACCTCATGACGGATGCCAGCTCCGAACACCGAGGCCAGCCCTGACGCCCACCCAACCTCCCGCCCCATCACGACATTGAGGCAATTCTGCGTGGCCTTTTGCGCCCTCCCAAAGCAGGCCGTTCAGCTGGAGTCTTCGTCCGAGGTCGCCTCGATGTTTGCCTTCTTGGGCGCCTTGGCCTTGTCCTTCCTCGGTGCCGCCACCGACAGCGACACAGACGCGCCCTCGCCCTCGCCCGCCCCGCCGGCCGCGTCGTCGTCGTTTTCCGCGTCGCTGACCGCCACGCCGTCCCTCTGCAGCTCGGCGTTAATGTCGGGGATCGCCCGGATCAGGGCCTTGTACTGGTCGAGCGAGAGCGAGATGCCCTTCTTGCCCGGCCGCATCTGGCCGCCGCTCTCGTAGTACTCGCGAATGTTAATCAGCGTCGCGCTGCGGAAGTGCGCGATGCCAATGCGCCGCATCTTGGACAGCTGTGTGCGTGTTAGTGCCCGTTGTGTTTTTCGTCCACGCACGACGTATTCTCCCAAGCATTTTCCTCAGCCCGTTGGACACACCTCCCAGTACACATTGCCCTCTTGGTCCTGGCCCTTGGGCGGCACGCCGCCTGCACTGCTGCTCTTCTTCTTTGCCTTGGATGCCGCCACGTCGCTGCCGCTGGTCTTCTTGGCCAGCTTGCCGGCGCCCTCGTCTGCGTCGGGATACGCCCGCTTCCGGTCGGCCATTGTAGTGGATTCTGTCTGGAACGAGTTGTATTCGCGTGTTGGATGCAAGTGCTGCGGTCGACCGCGTGGACGTGCCTTGTTCGTATGATAGGAGGCGTGGAGGAGATTGGATTGGATCGGAGTTCGTGAATATGTGACTGTGAATGCGCGGATTCGTCCAACGTGGCCTGCGTGGCAGTTAAGGAAGGAGCGGCTTGTGCCTTGCTGGTTCTTCAGGGGAAATGCAAAGGGAAGGAGCGATTGGCACGACTGGGACACGAACGATCGCAGCTGAATGTCAACGAAACAGAGACAGCGGAATCCGAGCCAAGGGAACGACAATCGACGATAGGAAGACGGGCGAACAGAATACAACAAATGTCGAGCACCCCGTGTGCCGCGTGGAGAGCTCGCGCGCGTCTCAACACGCGATGAGGAGGCACCGTACGGAGTAATTACAGTGCTTGCCAAGACTGGTTCAGCGCCCTAATTCGCCCTAATTCGTCCCCCAAATGGCGCTACAAGCAGTATATGGTGGGGCGTTTCGAGCTCTGCTTCCCCACTGTAAGGAGCTGCAATCGCTGTAAGGGAGCTCACGTTTAGCGCATGCCGAACCAGCGTCATAGGATACATAGTGGCATCCACATAAAGTACTACTGTATTACCCGACCCCAACCTCACCTAAGCAAATAAATGCTGACGCAGCATCAGCAGAGGTTACAACAGCAGCGTCTCCTTCACCGGAACCGAGAAGGACCATGCCATTTTCTTTCTCGTCCTCTTTCTCTTCCCCGACAGCCACCAGCCCAAGCCCACGTCCCATCCCACGGCATCCCATCCCCGCGCCATATCTACTACTCCCACATCCATCACCACTTCGTCCATCGACAGCCTCATCGTCATCGCCGCCATGAAGCCGGTCATCGCCATCCCTGCGACGCTGGCGCTCGTCTACCGCGCCTACAGCAAGAAGAGCCTCACCCCCTCCGGCATTTTCGTCGCCACGCTGACCGCCATTGCCCATGCTGTCCATCCGTGGAACCTGCCTTTTGTCCTGCTGGCCGTCTTCTTCCTCGCCGGCTCGCGCGTGACCCATGTCAAGGAGAACGTCAAGGCTGCGCTGACCCTGCCGGCGAGAGGAGGGCCCAACGTCGGGGGCGGCGAGGGGCCGCGGACGCATGTCCAGGGTGCGTTTGAGAAATAGATGGATGCATGCTTCTGATACGCTTCCCTATCTTCATTTGCACACTCGCTAACCTTTTGTCAGTTCTCGCCAACTCGCTCGTCGCATCGGTGCTTACCTTGCTGCACGCCTACCAGCTGCACCGGCGCAAGCAGGTCCTGCTGGACCTCCACGCGGGCGGCGATGCCGCGGCCGCCGCGGCCGCCCACGCCGATCTCGCGACCCACGGCAGCCTCTGCTATGCCTGGCGGGGCGACCTGCTCGTCATCGGCATGGTGGCCAACTACGCCGCCGTCGCCGCCGACACGTTCTCGAGCGAGCTCGGCATTCTGTCGCGCGCCACCCCGCGCCTCATCACGTCCCCCACGCTGCGCAAGGTCCCCCGCGGCACCAATGGCGGCGTCACCCTCGGCGGCCTGGCCGCGGGCCTGCTCGGCTCCGTCGTCATTGTCACGGCCGCCATGCTCTTCTTGCCGCTCTGCACGAGCGACACCACGCGCGACCCGCTGCTGTTTGGCACGGCGGCCGCGTCGGCGTCGGCGGCCTGGTCGGGCGCCGACCGCCGCGCGCTCATGGGCTTCCTGGTGCTGTGGGGCCTGCTGGGCAGCGTCGTGGACTCGGTGCTGGGCGGCCTGCTGCAGCGGTCGGTGCGGGACACGCGGACCGGCAAGATCTTGGAGGGCGAGGGCGGCATCCGCGTGCTGGTCTCCGAGGACGCCGGCCCGCACCACGGACATAGCAAGACAGAGGCGGACAAGCCGCGGCAGCCGAGCCGTGTGGTCGAGAACGGCTGGGACTTGCTGGACAACAACGACGTGAACTTTTTGATGGCCGTCATCATGAGCGTCAGCGCCATGGCGGTGGCCGGCTGGTACTGGGGCGTGCCGCTGAGCAGCATCATCCAGCCGTAAGCGCTCCACGCTGGTGAAGGATAGGACGATGCTCAACTTTTTTAATTTACACTATTGGGAGGTACTTTCACCGGTGGCGCGTTGAGATTTTAAAATAATAAAATACAAAAACATACATCCGTCTATTTCGCATACGCAAACATAATTATCAAAATTTGATGTGTTTTTTTGTTGTACTATTTTGGAAGTGCATTCGTGGCCATGGTATAGCAAAATACCCTCTATGTAAACGAAAGAAAGCAACAAGCCGAAACCCACGAAAATTTTACCCCGTCTCTCGTTATATACTGACAAGAAAAGAAGAAGAAGAAGAAAAAAACAGAAAACGAAGCAACAAGAAGTGAATGCATCCAGGCCGGGGTGGGAAGCGACTATTACATGGTCGTGGGAGGGACGGCGACATAACAAAATTAAACTCCAGTAGAAACGACACGTCAAAGGTAAAGCAAGCGGGGTAAGGGGAGGCGAGCGGAGACGCGGAGACGCGGAGGGTATTCAAGTACACAAGAGACACACAGCACACCGGCGCGCGTTGACTACTTCTGGAAGAACCAGCTCGATCTCTTATTCTCGCTGGCCTGCAGGTTCGCCACGGTCGGGTTGCCCGGTGCGCTGTCGCCTCCGCCGCCACGCAGCGGCTTGGCAATGCGGCTGCCGGAGATGCTGAAGCCGCCGACGGCATTGGTCGGCGAGCCCAGGCCGCGTGTGCTGCCGGCCTTGGCGGCCTCGAGGCGCTCCTTGACGGCGGCCAGTTGGACCTCGAATCTGCGAGGGAGGGGGTTAGCATGTGGAGAGGGGGGGTACAAGGTGTGTACATTGGGACAGACGACGTACTTGTGGTTGGCCTGGGCCATGTTCTCTTGGCTGTCCTGCAGCAGGCTCTCGAGGCTCTGGATGCGCTCGTTGCGGGCAATCAGCTTGCGCTCCGCAATGGCCACCTCCTTCTTGAGCGCCGAGTTTTGCTCGACGAGCTGGCGCTGCACGTGCGTCAGCTGCTCGAGGTTGCGCTCGAGGAAGGCCATCTTCTTCTGCTGCGCGCGGCTGTTGCTCGACCGCAGCACGTTGTTGTACTGCTCGCGCGTCTCGTCGAGCGAGATCTCGAGCTCCACCACGCGCTCGCACCGGTTCTGCAGGTCGCGCATCAGGCTCTTTTTCATCGTGTCGAACTCGGCCATCTGCTGCGCCACCGTCTTGCCGTTGGCCATGGTCGCGGCCGTCGAATTCGTGCTGCTGCCGCCGTTGGCGCCGCTGGCGCCGTTCGCCGCGCTGCCGCTGCCGCTGCCGCTCGCCTTCAGCTGCCGCTGCAGGTCCTCAATGACGACGCGCATGCGCTCGTTCTCGCTCGCCTTGCGGTTGACGTCGACCCGCAGGTCCTCGAGCAGGTTCTGCTGCACCTCTTGGCGGTCGGACAGCGACGCCTCGAGCCGCGCGCGCAGCTCGTCGGCGTCCTCGGGGCCCAGGTGGCGCGTCAGCAGGTCGTCGTACTCCTGCTGCAGCGCCACCAGGCGGGCCTCCAGCTCGGCGCGCCGCCGCGACTCGGCCTCGCTCGACTGCGCGCTGTACGCCGACAGCTCGGCCTGGCGCACGACGCCCTGCGTCTCGACCAGCTTCGCGCGCAGCGCCTGGAGGTCGTCGGGCGGCACCGGGTCGCCCGTGCTGCTGAGCGCGTGCAGGGCATCGACGCTGGCAATGGCGTCGGCAATGGTCTTCTCCTGGTCGCTGAACACGTCGGCGCCCAGGTCGAAGCCCGCCATCATCTTGGCCATCTTCTCGGCCTTCTTCTTCTCCTTCTCGTCCAGCACGGCCGTCGTCTCCTTGGCGCTCATCTTGACGTCGAGCAGCTGCTGCTTCAGCTCGTCGAGCTCCGTAGTCAGCTCCGCATTGGCCTCCTTGAGCCCGTCCATGGTGATCTGCGCCTCCTTGCCCTCGAACATCAGGCGCTCCAGCTGCATCTTGAACTCGTTGACGTCGCTCGTCAGGCGCTCGTTGTCCTTGCCCAGCTTGCTGTCGTGCTCCTTGACCAGCTGCAGCTCTTCCTTGGCCTCGGCGAGCTGCTTCTCGCTCAGCGCCGCCTGGTTCTCCTTGTCGGCAATCTGGTCCTGCAGCTCGTTCTCGCGCCGCAGAAACTCTTCGCGCTCGTCCTTGTCCATGGGCAGCGAGGGCGTGCCGGCGCGCTCCGAGATCGCCGGCGTCTCTGACCGACTCTCGGGCACAAGGCGCGACGGTGTGGACGGCCGTGCCGGGGCGGCGGCGGCGCTGCGGGCGGCGGCAGCCGGGGCGGACGAGGACGAGGAGGCAGGGCCGCTGGCGCTGCCGTCGCGCGAAAGGAACGGCACCCACTTGTCCTTGGGCACGGTCTCGCCGGCCCGCCACAGCTGGATCTCGCCCTCGAGGCTGCCCATGTACGACTCAAAGGTGGTGATCTGGGTCTTGGCCTTGCCGAGCAGCAGCTTGAGCTCGGCCGGGCTGAGCTCGGCGTTGACTTTGGCCTTGTTCTTGATGGACTTGGCGCGCATGCCGAAGCGCAGGGTGCTCAGGGTCTCGGCGTCGTTGTAGGAGCTGGGCGAGCAGTTGATGATGAGCGTCGTGCGGCTGTTGCCGCCGAGGGATTCTTGCAGGATGCGGGTGAGCTTGGAGTCGCGGTAGGGGATGTGGGACGACTTGCCGTCGGTGAGCGAGTTGATGACCATGCCGAGGGCGCTCAGGCTCTTGTTGATCTTCTTGGCCTCCTCGAGCGTCTGGCCGCTGGCGCCCGTCTTGCCGACCTTCTCGGAGCCGGCCAGATCGACGAGGAACAGCTGGCCGCTCTTGGCCGAGCCGGTCTCGACGTTCTTCTGGGTGACGGTGACGACAAAGATGGAGTGCGAGCGGGACGACTCCTGGTTCATGTTGGTGGCGGCGACGGCGCGGGCGTTGCCGCCCCGGCGCATGACCTCGTAGACCTCCTGGACGCTGGAGACGTAGATTTCGAGCAGGCCCTTGACGTAGACGCCGCGGTTCTTCTCCTCGTGGACGGGGAGGTTGTCGTTCTGCGGGGCCATGAGGTCGCGGATGCGCTCCATGTAGATCTCCATGTAGCTGACGCGCACGGTGTACTCGATGGTGGCGGGGCTGGCGAGGATGCTGGCAAAGATCTGCTCGACGATGCGGGGAATGACGCCGCGGCCCTCGCCGTCGTCGATGCTGGTGCCCATCATGGTGTAGGACTTGCCGGCGCCGGTCTGGCCGTAGGCGAAGACGGTGCCGTTGTAGCCGTTGAGGATGTCGTCGACGGTGGACTTGATGGAGTAGTCGAAGATGTCGGACTGCGCGCTGTTCATGTCGAAGACGCGGTCAAACGTGAAGGAGCCCTGGGCTTCCCGCGAGTCGACGGTGAGGGTGTCGTCGCCATCGAACCGCACGATCGGCTGACCGCCCGCCGCGAGCTCGGACTTGTTTTGCGGCCGGAAGCGGGCGACGACCTTGATGCTGTTGGACGACATGGTGACGGAGGAAGAGGCGGTCGTCTAGTCACCGTCGGGTTGTGGAGGAGAGTGTCGTGATGGTAGATGCCGCACCGGTCATCCACAGGGGGAGCGTCGCGGGGCCAGGCCGCTCGTTGTCGTAGACGAGATGCCGATCCGTACACGAAAGGAGGGAATATATCAAAGGGCAGGGATCGAGAGGCGTTCCCGTTGACGTCGCAAGTACCTCTCGATCGATTCGAAATTCACGTGAACAACAGTGTCCAAAGAAAAGAAAGTGTCGCACGCGAGGGGTGTGCTGGGGCACGAGGATCGCGGTGGAAAACGGGCTTGGTGCCGTTTCTGAAACGAGAGTGGTGAGGACGGCCAACCAGGCAAAATAGAAACAAGGGGGGAGGGAGAATGGAGTGGGAAAATGGCGAAACAAGGCACAAGGTCGTCGGAAAGGCGAAAAGCGGTGTCGAGGCCCAAGCCGTTTTGCGGCGTCTGTGTATCGACAAGGAGAAACAAGCAGCAAGGCGTGACGCAAGCTAGAAAGGCTATGTGGCTCTATTGACGCAACAACAAATGAAAAGCGACTGGCATGGGGTGGGTGGCGGAGGGGGGGGAGGGGATTGGCGGCGTGGAGGTCGGTCGGAAAGGGGAGACGAGACGTCGCGATTGTGGGATGCAGATAATAACAACGTTAGTGGAGGGGGGTTCCTGATGGTGTCACGTCTGGGCGGTCGCTCAGGCGGTGTGCAGCACATCTTACTGTCGAGAGATGCTGGAGACGGGCCTGGCCTCACTGGCTGCTTATTTATTTACTTTTTAGCGCATGTTATGCCAGGGTCCAACCAGCGTGTTCCCCCTGGCAAAACAGCGCTAGCGCACTAGTGCCAGCGCGCTGGTAAAAAAGGGATTCACAGTGGCTTCTGAGGGCAACAGACAGAGGGACAGCGACCTGGTGCAAAGTGGTGCAAGCTTTCCGGGAGGGCGTTGCCATATCTTACATTTCCCGGCAAAACGGCGTATATGTCGCAGACAGCAAACAACTGGCCGGCCTACGTCCAATATAAAGTGAATACAAATCTAATTAATCTGGCTGCATCGTATTGTATCGCCGCGCATGCCCGTAACCCAAGAGATGGCCCCCGTCCAAAGCCCAAGAGCAGAATGCGAAGCCTGAGTTGGTCCGCCCGTCCTTTCTGTCCTGGGTGATCGATTGCGCCAGCCGGACTGGCATCGGCGAGTCTGTCTGTCGGCAGTCGAGAGTATCGCCATCGACGGGCCGGGGGTGCAGGCGAAGTTGACGTCGGAGACCAGGCGGCACAGATGCAAATGCAGAAAACAAATGTACAGGTAGAAACCAAACGCAGAAGCCAAACCAAAAAGGACAAAAAAAAGAGAAAGAAAACAAAACCAAGACGAAAAAAGCATAAAGAACTATGCAGGGCGTAGCCACCCCGTCCTGTAATGCGCCATGTGGTATCGATGCATGCGTTGCTGCAGCCGCTCCGTTCGCCCTCTTCCGCACCGTCTTCTCTTCGGACGGTCGGCTCAGTCCTTCAGTCCTTCAGTCCTTCAGTCCTCCCAGCTCTTCTCCACCGTCTCTCGGACTCGCTTGTGGTACTCCTTGCGGCTGTCCTTGTACAGGTTGGACGCTTCGACATTGGCCGGCGAGCTGGTGTTGGGATCGTTCAAGAGACTGGCGACGTTAGTAACGCATCCCCGCTTTGGCATGTGGTGCCATTGTTATCGTGCTGCCCACCTCTGGATGCTTGTCAGGACGGCGGCCACGTCGTAGGTCGGGCTCCACCGGTTCTGCAGGATGTCGAGACACAGCTCGCCCGTTCCGTACACGTTGGGGTGGAACATGGTGCTCAGAAACTTGACCGACGGCGGCTTGTTGGGGTATTGCTCGTCAAACGTCATGACGAGCCGGAACGTGCCGTCCTCGAACGGCGTGTCGGCTGGGCCGATGATGACTGCGTTCCACGTCATGACATTGTCGGGGATGGGCGACGCGGAGACACCGGCGGGCGGATCTGTCTGCATGCGCTGCGATGGTTGTTAGCCCGGCTCTGGAGCGCCCTGTATGCCGGCGTATCGGCGAGGAAGAACGACAGCCGAGGAGAGGGAGAACGTACCTTGAAATCGCGCATTAAGCGGCGGCGAGCAGCGGTCGACATGGTGACGGTCGGCACGGGACGGTGTACGGATTGGATGGCCGTCTGGTCGTAGTCACGGGGTCGTCGTGATGCGTCTTAGTGGTCTGGGCAATCGAAGCACGCTCGGCGGCGTCGGCGAGGATCAGAAGACGAACAAGCAGACGGGAGGAAGCGTCGGATGTCGTCAGTGTTCCGATGTGATGAGATGGGATGCAGTTTATAATGTCAGGTTGAGCAGGGGAGACAAGAGAGACCACAAACGAGGCACTTTGCAGACGACATGGGTTGGCAATGACTTGGATCGTGGATGGGCACAAAGGCAAAAGGCAAACGCGGCGAGGCGGCGAGAAAGGGATTGGTTGGCGGTGGCGTCTTGCATAGAGCGGCGCTAGAGTCCGTCTTTGCATCCGCTGGATGATTTGCAATGCACTTTGCAGACATCGTCGCCGCCACAGCACGTGACTCTTATCCACTCTAGGCGTGACCGCAATCGCTATCGCGCTATCGCCCTCTCATGACAGTGGGGTCCGCTATGGCCGGCCCACGGAACGCAGGTCGCCACCACTGCCACAGCTCACACCGTGCTGTGGAGTCCATTCTGTGTTGGAGCTCGGCACAGTAAATGCGCTGGGGCCGCCCTGGATGCGCTGGAACGCCCCGCCTGAACGCTGCCCATCAGCGACTGGCAAAGATTCGTATTCCACGCGCAAGGGAAAATAACGCTCTACCGCACTCTTACGGAATAGAAACATGATTCGATGTATGCCCGGAATGTATGAGGACTCGTGTCGGTCTTTGAGCACGAGAATAGAGACATAGGGCAGGGCACCAAGGCACATTTAGTCCGTGTCAACCGCAACTACACTGTAATGGGGGGCAATTCCCGGTACCAATCAGTGACGTGCACTAATACACCTGGCATTTCTCGGCTACTAGCGGCCAAGCATGTGCTTGGAGGCCAGCAGCTGCACCCACATTCCTCTTCTCTTCGGAGAGACGCCCACTACGGCAGACGTCGAGAGGCCGCGGTCTCTTCAAATAAAAGACAAAGGTCTCGCTGTTCATTCCTCTCACAACGACTTTGGCTTTTCCCCGACTCGCGTTTTCTTTCCTCCTCCCTCCTCTTTCTGTCGCAGCCGTGCCATCCTGCTCCACCCCCACGACACCCCACACAAATACACCGCAATGACGTTGCAGAGCATCCGCCCGTCGGTTGTCCGCCACCTTCGGACTGCGGCGGCTGCCCGGCCGTTCTCCGCCCAGTCGGTCCTGCGCCGCGCGACCCAGGATGCCTACATTCTGAGTGCGTCGCGGACGCCGACGGCCAAGTTCAACGGCGCGTTCGTCAGCGTGCCGGCGCCGCGGCTGGGCGCCGTGGCCATCAAGTCGGCCGTCGAAAAGTCCGGCATCCCCGTCGACAAGATTCAGAACGTGTACTTTGGCAACGTCCTGCAGGGCAACGTCGGGCAGTCGCCCGCCCGCCAGGCGGCCATCTTTGCCGGGCTGCCGACGTCGACCGAGGCGACGACGGTCAACAAGGTGTGCGCGTCCGGCCTCAAGGCGGTGGCCCTCGCGGCGCAGGACATTGAGCTGGGCCACAGCGAGGTGCAGGTGGCCGGCGGCATGGAGAGCATGTCGCAGGCGCCGTACTACGTCCCGCGCGCGAGCGGCCTGCCGGCCTTTGGCAACGTCACGCTCGAGGACAGCCTGATCAAGGACGGCCTGACCGACGCCTACGACCACCACCACATGGGCATCTGCGCCGAGACGACGGCCAAGAAGCACGGCATCACGCGCGAGGACCAGGACGGCTACGCCATCCGCTCGTACGAGCGCGCCAAGGCCGCCTGGGACGCCGGGGCGTTTGCGGACGAGATTGCGCCCGTGACCGTGACGGACAAGCGCAAGAAGACGGAGACGGTCGTCGACACCGACGAGGGCTTCCTGGACGTCGACGTGGCCAAGGTGCCCAAGCTCAAGCCCGCGTTTCTGCGCGACGGCTCCGGCACCGTCACGGCCGCCAATTCGTCGAGCCTCAACGACGGCGCCTCGGCGCTCGTGCTCGGCAGCGCCGCCGTCGCCCGCGCGTATGCCAACGGCGGCACGTCGCGCGTGCTGGCCAGGATCTGCAGCTACGCGGACGCGGCCGTCGAGCCCATCGACTTCCCCGTGGCGCCGGCCAAGGCCGTGCCCCTTGCGCTGCAGCGCGCCGGCATCACCCAGAAGGACGTGGCCGTGTGGGAGTTCAACGAGGCGTTTGCGGCCGTCATCAAGGCCAACGAGAAGATCCTGGGCCTGGACGCGGGCGCCCGCGTCAATGCGCTGGGCGGCGCCATCGCGCTGGGCCACGCGCTCGGCAGCTCCGGCTCGCGCATCCTGGTGACGCTGCTGCACCAGCTCAAGCCCGGCGAGTACGGCGTGGCGGCCATCTGCAACGGCGGCGGCGCGGCCACGGCCATGGTGGTGCAGCGTGTCGAGTCTGTGTAGAAGAGATGAATACCCGCTCGGAGAAGACGACGGACACGACCGAAACGAGCAATTGCAAGGGCAAAATGAGCAAAGAACACACACCAAAATAGCGGCCCAACCATAAATTAGACACTGGCTGGGCAGGGGCAGTCAATCAGGCGAATGTACAATAATATATATAAATATAAAACAGAGAAAACATCGACACACGGTAACCGGGTCTTCTGCTGCATGGTATACACTATCAAAATGGCATATCTACGAGGAATGTCCGATGTAGTCGAGGCGCTTACGTACGGCCCATACCTCGTGGCGAGCTGGCCTACGCGTGCGAATGACAGACGTTTGCTATGCTCTTCGGACATCGCCGTGTTCGCCCTGCCTTTTTGTTTTCATTTGGTTTTTTCTCTGCACAACTCTGGCTAGCTAAACGGCCGTCGTCTTTCCACCGCCCTGACAAAGTCGTCATTCTTGTTTGAACCCTGTTTTGCCGTTTTACCAGTCCAGGTTCGTCGGCCTCTGAAACGCGGAACGAGGACCATCCACCAGCGTCCCACCAACAGCAGTCGCTCGTGCTGCTCGCTGACCTGTGCACTCACCTCTCATCACACATGTCGAAACCGCTGGAAAGATGCGTTATTGAAGTGCCATGGGCCTGGCCGAGGGGCTCCAATGGCTGACGACGGGGAAGACGAGCAGGGGTGCAAAAGGCTTGGCACGAGGCAAGACCTGGTTGGCCCAGGCCTGTCACTGTGCTGTGCGAGGCAGAGGTACATACATATTCGTATCTGGCATAGTTCGTCTGTCGTACAAAAGACTGCGAAGGAGCGCTAGTTGGCCGGAAAGCAAGGGAGCTCAGGGGAGACGCTGTGGGCGGGACAATGCGTGGGCCCTGACGAAGCGCCTCTCTTACACGCCAACGGCGACTAGGCCGGCCCTTGACGGGCTCAGGGCACAAGGGGCAGGAACGCGCAGGGGCAGCAGACCCAGAACACAACGGACAGTGAAGATAGTGAAGATAGTGAAGCTGTTTCTGCGAGCTCTGCCAGCCCCCGCCGTGTTCACGTTCACGTATACGTCGTAAGAAGGGCCGCGCCTGTAGGCGTCGTGGCCCCTCCAGCAACACAACGTCTCGGCGGTGCCACCGCACATGCCGGTCGGATGCCAGCACCGCGACAGGTACCCGAGAAGCACAGCAGCAGAAGCAAGGGACGGGCAGTTTTGTCTGCATACGTGCTCCGTAGACGGCGCTGGTGAGATGTCAGTTCAGAGATTCGTCGCCCCGAATATGGCGCCCTTGGAGAGCACGATGAGAAGCTGTAGATTGATAAGATGACTTTCAGTACGAGCAACGGCACGAGCAGAAGCACCCGGCGCATTTCCCATTTCCTTTCTCGAGCCATCCTGCCGTTGCCGCCCCCCTTCGGCCTACGAATACGGCGGACCAACACACAACGACGCAGTGCTGTTCCTGGCGACAAGAGACGAAAAGTGGGGGCCACGAGGGGAACCCTGCGAGCCTGCCTGTTCTGCCTCCAGATTCGCCAGCGCCAAACGGCTCTAACGCCCAGCGCGGCCCAGGCCCCTAAAGCCTCGCAGCCACTGGAGACCGTCTCGCCCTCCCGCCAGTCAACTCGCCCAACGGCCCCTCCTTCCTAGAATGTGACAACCCTCTCTGGCTCTGTCCCGCTTGCCGCCAGACAGAAACAACGCCCACCCGCCCGAACCGTGAGTTGCGTTGCTCTTTCCTCCTTTCACGACATTTCCCCTCGAGCTTCCTTTTGGGTATCCGCATCCTCGTGCCCTCTCCCCTTGTTTGCTCTTTCCTCCTGTTTGTCTGCGTCCTCGCCCCCCCTCGGTCTCCTTTCCTGGCAGCCGCTCCGTCCTCTCGGCCCCCCCCTCGACCCCTTGTCGACCGCTCCTGCCTCGCTCACCGCCCACCAACAACCACCTGCCCGGCGTCGATCGTTGTTCAAACAGCAGCAGCAATCACGGGCTCATCTTGCTTTCCTCCTATCTCTCCCTCCTATCGCCCCCTCCTCTCTCCGCCCACATTCGCCCAGCATGGCCGACTTTGCGCCCCGGTCGATGAAGCGGAAGAACGTCAAGGGCCTCGCCCTGACGCCGGCCGCGCCCAAGCCGCCACCGACCGCCGAGACCGCCAACAACGGTGGCGACCCCAACGACGAGTCTGCCCATCTCGAGATCGGCATCGAATACAACCTGGATCTGCGGCCCGAAGACATTGAGTTCATCAAGGAGCTGGGCTCCGGCAACGGCGGCACCGTCAGCAAAGTCCGACACATCCCGACCAACACAACGATTGCCCGCAAGGTGCGTTGCCTCTGATTTGGCTCTCGACGCTGTGTTCCCTGTGTTTCCTGTGTTCCCTGTGTTCCCTGTGTTCCCTGTTTACGCATCTCTTGTGCCGCCCGCGCCGTTCGCAGACTAACTTTTGCACAGGTCATCCATGTCGAGGCGAAGCGGGAAATGCGCAAGCGGATCGTGCGCGAGCTGCAGATCATGCGCGGCTGCCACTCCGAGTACATTGTGACCTTTTACGGCTCGTTCCTCAACGACAACAACGACGTGATTATGTGCATGGAGTACATGGACGTCGGCTCCCTCGACCGCGTGTCCCGCGTCTTCGGCCCCGTCCGCGTCGACGTCCTCGGCAAGATCGCCGAAGCCACCCTCGGCGGCCTGACGTACCTCTATGTGAAGCACCACATTATGCACCGCGACATCAAGCCCTCCAACATCCTGCTCAACTCCCGCGGCAACATCAAATTGTGCGACTTTGGCGTCTCCGGCGAGCTCATCAACTCCATCGCCGACACCTTTGTGGGCACCTCCACATACATGGCGCCCGAGCGCATCCAGGGCGAGCGGTACACGGTCAAGTCGGACGTGTGGAGCTTCGGCCTGTCCATCATGGAGCTGGCCATTGGCAAGTTCCCCTTTGCCGCCAGCGAGCAGCTGTCGGATGCGGAGAGCGCGCCGGCCGGTATTCTCGACCTCCTCCAGCAAATCGTCCACGAGCCCGCACCACGCCTGCCCAAGAGCGACGCCTTCCCCAGCATTCTCGAAGACATGATTCAAAAGTGTCTCTTCAAAAACCCCGACGAGCGGCCCACGCCGCAGGAGCTCTTTGTGAGTCCACGGATGGGAGCAACAGCGGCTGTTTTTGCAGCACAGCCGCTTGCCCATGCTATCTTCCTTTTGTTCTTTCCTTTTGTTTTTTCCTTTTGTTATTCTTTTGATTCTTTCCCCTTCTTCTATACGCTGTTTGCTATTTTGCTGTGCGCCTTGCTAACACATGCAGGACCGTGATCCGTTCGTCCAAGCCGCCAAGAGAACGCCTGTCGACCTGCGCGAGTGGGCTGTCGGCATGATGGAGCGGGACAACCGCAAGTCCCACCTAGCCCCCCAGCTGTCGCCTGCCACGCAGGAGCTCCTCCGCGGCACCGATTCCCCGACGACGTACCACGGTGACGACCGTGACCGTACGCTACAGACACCAACTTCAGGTGAGATCCCTATTGTGGGCGATATTTTGTCACCACATGACCAACATGGCATCAGCCTTCCGAATCGGTCCCCAACGCGGGCTGCCGTTGGATCTGGCAACGGCCTCGGCAGTGCCGGGATCAGCGGCGGCGCTGGGGGTAGCAGCAGTGCCGGATTCGGCAGCCTTGGCCGCGCAAGTGGACAGGCTGTACATCCGGGACTGGGAGCACGAGTAGCCACCGCCGAATCGATCCCCCGCGTGCCTGTGCCGATCGCAACGGGCCTCGGCAACGGCCTGTCCGGCGGCCCCACTAGCGCCGGTACGAGCCCAGCGACGTTCTCCCTCCCTGTCCGTCTGGCACCACAGCCGAGTGGGCCACCACCGCCCCCTCCGAAAAAAGAGACGCCCGATGAGCTGCGGCGCCGGCAGCTGCAGCACCAGCAACAGCAACAGCAGCAGCAGCAGCAGCAGCAGCACTCGAATTCGCATTCTCACCACTCGCTCCAGCACCAGCACCAGCACGCGCAGCAGTACCATTACCAACAACAACAGCACCAGAGCCAGCAGCCGCCATACCAGCCGCAAACTGTTTATACTTCGACAAGCGACACGTACCCCCTCGGATACCCAACGAAATGAGACCATGGAAGAGATGACAATAAAAAAAGACGAAGATGACGAGCATGCCTGCGATGTTTTGGGCTTTCTTTTTTCTCTTTTTTTCTTTTCTTTCTTTTTTTCTTTTTTTTTTTTCGTTTCGGGTGTTGTGTTTCTTATGGAAAGGCAGACGACGTGAAGGGACACGAAAATATATCTGTATACAAGTGATTTAGCGATGTTGGCCGGCTGTTCTTCCACTCGTTCGTCTCCCTTCACATGCTCCCCTTTCTATTCTTTATTTCTTTTTTCATTTATATTTCCTTTGTCGCCATTCTCATTTCTGAATGTCCCATCTCATCTTGTCATTTCATTGCGTATTGTATCTTACTTTTTGGTTACATCATGCCAAACAATTTCTTTTACTGTTACCTCATTTATACTGCGCGCATCTTGACGTAACATATTCTTCTGTCCAACTCTGAACGTGTTCATGCTTTTTCCTTGATCTGCGTCTCAAATGTCGTGTTGTTTATTATATGTATGTGCCTTTATATTTATCTATGACGTACCTGTCCATATTATCATCAAAACTCGTTCTCGCTTCATGTTTTGCGCTCAGTCACAATGTCTGCGTGATCTCCCGTCCGACAAAGCCCTTCTCCAGGACATCAATCAGCTCATCCAGTCGTGAGATGACAAGGTCCGTGTGCTCGTGCTCAGCCAAGTGCGCGTTGACGTCGTTGACGAGCAGGACAGACGCTGCGCCCGCGTTGCGGCCGGCAGTCATGTCGTCAATGGAGTCGCCCACCATGATCAGCCCCGACGCGTCGGCTTCGGGCACCGAGGCGACCGTCTCAGCCTGCTCCTCCTCTTCTTTCTGCTCGGCAGCGACCGCGGCACGGTCGGCGGTGTCTTCGTCGTCGGCACTCGGGCCCGTTGCCGACCGCAGGAAGCCCCAGCTCCGAGCAATGTGCAGGATGCCGGCCGGGTCGGGCTTGGGCGGGCGGAAGTCGCGCGTCACAATGGGCGCGAACACGTGGCCGTCGAGGAACTTGCCCAGCAGGTGCAGCACCGGCTGCTCAAAGTTGCGGGTGCAAATGGCCTTGGGCACGCCGCGGGCGGCGAGATAGTCCATGAGCGGGGCCAGGCCGGGCTGGGCTTCTTGCGAGGCCATGGCGGCACGTTCAATGTTGCGGATGCTCTCCATGGCCTCGTGCCGTGCCTCGGGCGTGGGCAGGGCGTAGATGTGGTCGAGGATGTCGATGCCTTTTGTGATGCCGAGGGCGGCACGCATCTGGCCGAACATGTACGTCTGCGGGACGCTGGGTCGGCGGAGGCGGTAGAGTCAGTTGGGCGTGCACATGGTGATGGTGAGCACAATCCGGGAGGAACTCGGCAACTCACCAGAGTGTCCCGTCGACATCAAAGACAACACCCCGCAGCACTTTTGGCTGCCCCGCGGCGGGTGGTGTCGATGGTATGGAGCTTTCAGGGGTACGGCCGGCGAGCGGTGCGAACTGTCTCCGATGCGGAGACGCCGCTTGTGTGGGAGCCGGTGGAGCCATAGCGATGGCGATGGCGAGAGCGGACGAGGTCGTGTACGTGGAAGGAGTAAAAAGACGCAGCACAAGAGGAGCTGGTGTAAAGGATGTCGCGATGCAGCTGTGAGGACACACGGCCCGGGCAGGCGGTAGAAGGGTCCGGGAGGCGGATGCAGAGAGTGTCTGCACCGTACGCATGGGATTGGAGCCCAGGTGCAGCTCTGTCTGCAAGGTTGACAGTTGACGAGGAGATGTACAGGACGTACTGCTCCTTTGTGGGGGGTTGCGGCTGTGGCTCTTTGGCTGTCCACTGCACGATTCCCGGAAGTGTGCCTTCTACAGCGCTGCCGAGCTGGAGACAGCGGGGCTAGTGGACTTGGCTTGGCCGGCCGGCCGTTTGTCGTTTCGCTAGCTTTGCCCTTCCCAACACAGCAATTCATGGTGCCTGCCGCAAGGCTCGGCCTGCTCAGCCTCGTCATGTGACGAGAGCGCGGCGAGGAGCTCTTCAAAAGGGGAAGGAACGTCTCTGGCACGTCAATCCCATTCACGGCATCACCTTCCATCTTTCTTTGGTTATGTTCGTTCCTGCCAGTTTTCAGCCTGACCAGCTGCAACAACGTGCGCCTTCCAATAACGGCCGCTGTCAAGTGAAATACATGAAATACATGAAATACACGTGCCTGATTGGATGGACTTGGCAGAGGTACCCGCAGTTAGTGTCTCCACCAAGAGCGATATGCTTTAGCGGCCTGCGCAGTTGCCTTTCTTATCGACCAAGCTCTTGAGCCTCGCGTCGCAGTTGCTCTTTTCTCGCTTCTCTCCTCAACCACATCGACGACGACCATCGACGCCCGGCGATGGGCGACAACGTCACGAACACAGGCGGCCCGGCCGCCAACGGCCAATGGCCGCCGCCTCGGGGAGCCAGGCGAAGTGTGAGTTTTGGTCTTTCTGCCCGCCCTGCCGGCTGCCCAGTGCCTACTGCCTACGTTCCTGGCTCCTGCAGCTGCAAATGAAGGACAACGCGGGACAGTCGACGGTGCATCCCCATTTCACCCCCGTCTCATCATCGCCCGCCCGCTTGTCGCTCTGTCCTCCTGTGTCTTGTCTAATTCTCTCTCTCCTCTGCCTTCCAGAAACTCCGCAATGGCACGTTCATCATTCCCTCCACCGGCGAACGCTCCCGACGCCAGTTTACGCTCCGAAACGGCATCGCGTCCTCCTCCTCTCCTCGACCCGGAAACATGTCCTCTCCCGGGTCCCTGCTTGGCGACGACGAGAACGACCTCTCCTTCTTTTCCGCGCCCGGTTTCATTGCTCGCTTCGAGGCCGCCGGCCGCGCGGCGCGCGATGGCCTCGGCCGCTTCCGGTCCTGGATGGACTCGCCCAAAGGCCGCGGCGTCATCAAGTGCACGGTCGCCTACACGATTGCCAGCCTGTGGACATTCTGGCCGCCGCTCTCGGACCTGCTCGGCCGGCTCGACGGCAAGCACCTCGTGGCCACCATCACCGTCTACTTCCACCCCGCGCGCACCGCTGGCTCCATGATCGAGGCCACGGCTATTGGCGTCGTGGCCGTTGCGTATGCCGAGATCATCTCCATCCTGTCCATGGCCACGTCGGTGCTGTTCGGGTCGGTTCTCGGCTGGGTCACGTTTGCCTACTTGGTCGTGCTGGTCTTCTTCATCTGCGTCGCCTTTGGCTTCATCGGCTGGGTCAAGCAGCGCCTCAACAACCCGTCCGTCAACGTCGGCTGCACGCTGGCCTCGCTGGCCATCATTACCGTCGTCACCAAGGAGAACGCCACCTACAGCAGCGTCTTCTCCAATGACAAGGTCGCGCAGGTGCTCAAGACGCTGGTCTTTGGCATCAGCACCACGGCCGCCGTCAGTCTCCTCCTGTGGCGTGTGTCGGCGCGCGCGTTGCTGCGTGAGTCCTTTACGGAGGCGTCCAAGTCGCTCGGCGACATGCTTGCGATGATTACGCACGGCTTCCTGAGCGGCGCCGAGGACGAGCTGACCGTATCCGCCGAGTATCGCACAGCGGTCAGCAACTGGACGACCGCCCACGCACAGATGACCAAGAACCTGAAGGAGGCCAAGTACGAACATTTTGCGGTCGGTCATGCGAGCCTGTACCAGTTTGAGAAGCTTGTGTACAAGTCCATGGAGACGCTGGCACTGTCCATTGGCGGGCTGCGCAGCGCGGCCAACACACAGTTCGAACTGATGCGCGAGTCGGCCGCTGCAACGGCAGCCGCCGCCGCAGGTGCGTCAACCGCCGGCTCCACAACGGCTACGCCAGGCACAGGCATTCCCACGGGCTCGGCAGCGCCAGCGATGTCTCTCGACCAGCTTCTCGGATCGCCCCTCTCCGCCACTTTCTCGCCCTCTTCGTCGCCCTCTCTTGCTCTTGGCGCCGCAGCCTCGTCCTCCTCTGGCCCCTCCGCCGCCTCCTCTGCCTCCTCCTCTGCCAGGCCCCAGTTGTACCGCGCCAGTTCGAGTTTCCAGCGCAGCGGTCGCCTGGCCGTTCTGTCTGCCATCGACGAGGCGTCGGACGAGAGCAGCGAGGACCGGCCGGATGCGCCGCTCATCACCCAGTACAGCGACAACGACACGGGTGGCTTGATGAACACGCCTCTGAGCTCGCGCCCGGTCGCCGACCACATGCCGCTGATCGACATTGGCGATCGCGCCCCGTCCGTCCGCAGCGGCAAGTCGCGCCGCGACAGTACGGCTACGCTGCGCACGTCCTCGGAGATTTTTGAGCTGTTCATCGGCATGCTTGGCCCCTCGGTGAAGTCGCTGGCCTTTACCCTGGCCACTGTGCTGCGCGACTCGCCGTTTGGCGGCCCGCCCCGGTTCGAGATCTTCATCAACGACCACTACCGGCAGAGCCTCACGGATGCGCTTGCTCTGTTCAACACGGCCCGTGCCGACGCGCTCGAGGAGCTGTACAAGACGATCGAGCTGGGCCGCCCGCGCTCCGAAAAAATCAAGGCCGACTACGAAGAAGTCGCCGCCGCCTGTGGCCACTTCAGTTTCAGCCTGCAGGCGTTTGGCGAGGAGATGACAAAATACCTGGACGTCCTCGATGACCTCAAGCTGATTCACGACCACAACCGCCGCAGCTGGCGCTGGCTGCTCTTCTGGAAGGCCCCGCAGTTGCGCTATCCCTCCGTGCTGCCCTTTGAAGCAGCCGTGCCCGACCGTGTTGGCGACACCGACGGCACGTACGACAGCCTCGCCAACAACACTGCGGCCTCCAACGGCAACGCGCGCGGTGTCGCGTCCGGCAGCAACAGCAACAACAACAACAGCAGCAACGGGGTCCGCCCGATCCGCAAGTCGCAGCTCCCCCGCGGCATCCCCGACGAGATGATCAAGCAGCGCGACACGTTCAGCTGGCAGGCGGCACCGCAGTCGAACAAGGTCGTCCGGCAGATGGCCCAGAACGTGCTGCGCTTCTTCCGCGTGCTCACGCGCGACGACATTCGCTTTGGCATCAAGGTCGGTATCGGCGCCATGCTGTGGGCGTCCATGGCCTTCATCCCGCAGACCCGAGACATGTACGTGCACTGGCGCGGCGAGTGGGGCCTGCTGTCGTTTATGATTGTCTGTTCCATGACCGTGGGCGCATCCAACACGACCGGCCTGGCGCGGTTCCTGGCCACGCTGGCCGGCTCTGCTTGTGCCGTCATCAACTGGAACATCAGCCGGGGCTACGCGCTGCCGCTCCTGATCCTGGGCGGGGTCGTGGCCTTTTCGAGCTTCTTTGTCATGATCGACCGCGGCAAAGCGCCGCTGGGCCGCACGACGCTGCTGGCCTACAACGTCATTTCGCTGTACGCGTACTCGCTCTCGCAGCGGGTCGACGACGACGACGACGACGAGGGCGGCATCCACCCGTTCATCATGGACATTGCCAAGCACCGGTTCCTGGCCGTGACGGCGGGCATTCTGTGGGGCCTGGTCGTCTGTCGTGTCGTGTGGCCCATCTCGGCGCGCCGCCGCTTCAAGGAGGGCGTCTCGGTCCTGTACCTGCAGATGGGCCTCATCTGGAAGCGCGGCCCGCTGGCCATGCTGCTGCGCAGCGACTGCACGCGGTCGTACCTCAAGTCGGGCGAGCAGGCGGCGCTGCAGCGGTACGCGGGCCGCCTCGAAACGCTGCGGCAGGGCGCCGCGTCCGAGTTTGAGCTGCGCGGGCCGTTTCCGTTTGCGGCGGCCGGCCGCATGATGGCCGCCACCAACCGCGCCCTCGACGGCTTCTACGCCATGAGCCTCGTGACGCAGCGCCGCGGCCGCCTCACCGAGGGCGAGCGCGCGCTGCTGTACTACACGGCGGCGGAGCGGGCCATGCTCTGCGACCGCGTCTGCCATGTCTTCCAGGTGCTGGCGAGCTCGTTTATGCTCGAGTACCCGCTGACGGATGCGCTGCCGGGCGTCGCCATTGTGCGCGACCGGCTGCTGGCCAAGATCTTCCAGTTCCGCAAAGAGCACGCCGCGGCCGTGAAGCAGCAGCAGCAGCAGGAGCAGTTTAACAGCCTCCTCGAAGAGGACGAAGACGGCTGCGACAACGAGAACGACAACGACAAAGACAACAACAACGAGGAGGCAGACATTGCGCAGCATGGTAGCCGCCGTGGTAGCGGCATCGCAGGCGCAGCGGCGGCACCGCCACCACCCGATGCGGCTGCGATTGTCAACGTCGAGGAGCGCGACTATGCGCTGCTGTACGCCTATGCACTGGTGACGGGCCAGGTGGCCGAGGAGCTGCGCAACATTGAAAAGGAGATCGAGGGCCTCTTTGGCGTGCTCGACGAAGAGTCGACGCTGCTTCAGTAAGGCGCTGGTGGTTCTCTGTCGACGGGCGCTTGGACGATTTCTTTGGATTCTTGTTTCTCGTGTCCTTGCACCAGGGGTTTCTATTGCATTGTGCTACATACTATCGTCTTGGGTTTCCTTTTTGGGTTCTTTTTGGGTTTGTCTTGGCCTTTTCTGTTGTCTTCTATTTCCTATACCGCTCTGCATCGCCGTCTGCTCGGCTTGTTTTCGTTACGGGTCGTGCCTCGCACTTTCATTTTTAATACAGCCTATGCCAACACGCTCTCCGTCGTTTGCTCGTTTGATTCGCCCTCTTTCGACTCTTGGACACGATGCACGGCATACGTCGTTTTTACGTCGTTTCCCTTGGCGGGTTCCCGATGCGGGCAGCTGTGTCTTGGTTCTCGTGTTTTGCTGGCTGCCCCGATGCTCGTCCGTTTTCCATGCCCAAATGGCCTGGTTTCTATTTCGGTGCGTGTCACAGACTCCTTCAGCTGCGCGGGAACATACCACCCGAGGATGCCTCTGTGACCAGGTCCGCCTGGTCCGCCTACCAAGGCACAACACGCCACATTGCTTCCCTTCTTTTGCCTGTGTTCTCCGTACGGGCTCTTCCTCTCCTTTAGGATGCTTCCGCCCAGGTGATCCTTCCAGCCGAACATATTCTCCCACGTCTGTTTGCGAACGAGATGCATTCCGGGGCATTTCATGGCTGTCTCTCTGGTTACAGTTGCTCTCCCCACTCGTTCTCGCCCTTGGTCTCATTTGTTTTGGTTCTGTCTTCATTTTTATTTTTATTTTTGCTTTCGTTTGCATCCTTTATTTTTGAGTTGCCCCTGCTATGAGACGTGCGGGGTTATTGATTATTTTCGCCTTCAGCCCGACCTGGTACCTGGCCACCACTATAGAAATTTGTGGCGGCTGCGTGAGAAAACGCCCATGAGAGTGTTTTCGTCCGGAGGCGGTTCTTGATTCTTGAAGTTGCCAGACACGGCAGAGTCTTGCGAATAAGCATGACGTGAAATGTTTCAAACAATTGGATACGGACAAAAGCAACAAACTACAAACTAAGACGGATTCTTGTTCCGGCCACCCAACATGGCTCAACACATTCTGTCGGAGGAGCTGACACTCTGCATTGTCTCTCCTAACTATGGCAATTACGCCGCAATTTTATTTGTGAGATTGTCCTGCTGAGTCAAAACATTGTAAGTACGGCCCGAGCAACCAAAAAAAAAAAAAAGAAAGAAAAAAGAAGCAGAAACGAACTTATACTTCCAAGACACAACTCGTAGGAATTTGCCGGGTGCACATTCTCACCCAGACACCCGATCCTGTCTTCTGCACATTGTATCGACTGTGCCGAATGCAATCAACGGCTGTGGTCGCTGCACTCGGCCTCCTGCCGGGTCATTTCCCTGCATTGCTCTGGATTCCGATTCCGTCGTTAGCCTTTGCATCTGAACCTTGTCTCGTTTCTCGTAAACTTTTTTGTTTTCATTTTCTTCCCGAGACGCCCCCCGGGCATGCGAGTGTGAACATGTGGTCTGATCGCATGCCCATGTCTTGGTCTGGCTGCACACATCGACCGCCCTTGTTTCCTTTGTGCTCCTACACGCTCCCCTTTGTGTCTTTGTGTTCCTTTTCGTCCCTTTTCGTGCTTATTTTGGACCAGCTGCGCTGCCACCGTCGAATCCACGGATCCATGCACTCCTTGTGCTCAACCCCTGTTTCTCGACGATGATTCGCATTTTGTTGTCGTCTTCTTCGCTTCTGCTGCCTTCTTTCTATTCCTATCCAGAGTCCGGAGTCAACCCCCCGGTCTGCCACCTTGTCACTTTTCTTTCCCTCCTATCATCTCATGATTGCCGTTTTGCCTTGTCACGGACGCGGGACCGAATACGAGGAGGACAGACGGGCAATGGGTACCTGCACCATGTTTGGCGACTGGTGACAGACGCCCTCTTTGGTCTTTTGTCTTTTGGTCTTTTGGTCTTTTGGTCTTTTGGTCTTTTGGTCTTTTGGCCTCATTGGCTAGCGATGTGTACCGTTTATGCTGTTGCTCCTCTTCCGATCCGCAACTCAATGGGCGGAGCATTGCATCACGAAGAGCCCGGATCGAGAGTGTAGGAAACAGCCAATGTAGGCTTTTTCAAGGATCGGCGTAAGTGCAGCCACGATCATCTTGGAGAAGAGAGTACACAAAGACAGAGCACGGAAACAAAATGCGGAATACGGACGACTACGGAACACGGAATGCAGACTTGAGATTGCTGGATGGGAATTCGCTTGCTCTACAGCTTTACTCTTTCGGAACTGGATTCTTGTATGTCCTTCCCCCTTCGTTCTTACGTTTTCTTTCCTTCTTTTCCCTAGGGTTTTCGCCTCTGCATCTTGATCCGCCTGTCAATATTTCAGAACGTCGTGTCTCAACCAACAGTCTCGGCCTTCTGCTCCAACATGGGAGTTTATTTTGCTTTTGGTATTTGGTTTGAGCCATCTCTCCATCTATTCGCGGACATTGTATTTGCATACAGATATATATAGCATTGTTACAGATTTGGCAGGGAAAGGAAATAAGGGTGACAAGCCACCAACCACAGCTGACATACCTTTATTACGTTCATGGGCGCAGCCCACTGTCAAGATAACTCGCCTTGCAACTGGACGTGGAATCAGCAGGCACATCACCCTAGGTAGATGATGAAATTTCCGACGTGGCGGACGGTAGTTTCATGAGGCCTATGTGGCTGTGGTTGATATAATGTAATGGCCATGTTTAAATTATCGTCCGTGTTGCTCTTATTTACAAACCTTGACAATGATCGGAATATCCACTGATTTCATCATTTGGCATCCTTAGCCACCACGCCTCTTAATCATATAAGTTTACCTACTTTAGTAGCCCGCGCAGAGTTTACTTTACGTTTTTATTTCTTAATTTATTTTGTAAAAAACATTTTTTTTAAAAAAAAGAAAGAAAGAAAGAACAGTCATAAGTCGCACCAAGGTCGTACATTGCCAATGCCCACCTGCATGCGTCTTGTCCTCCCCGAGCCATGAAAACGACCAAGGCGCACGGGCACAAGCACTCTCTTATCTGTTCTTCTCTCTCTCGTTTTCTTTTTCTCCCTGTCACACGCGCAATCTCAACACGCGCAGTCTCATGATTTGCCAGCCTGAAGAGTGGGTGGTCTGGGCCGAGACACCCTTTCCATCCTGGGGTTGCTTCGATGCTGCGATATGAATGGAAACAAACGAGTCCCAGGAGCAAAGAAGGGTTTAACGGTGGAAAAACAAATGCCAACTTGATATCTCTGTCAACGTTGACGTGCGGACTCTTTGAAGAGGCGAAACGAAGTAAAACAACAATTCTCCGTGTCCTAAATCCAAACCGTTCCGATTATACAGCGAACGCCTTTTATTTTCTCGTCTGCAGCTCTCTGTCGTGCCTGTGCTGCATCACTTCCAAGGCTGACCGAAGTAAGCAGCGTGGCGTCCAACAAAAAAATGGCGAGCCTTTCCTACCACCCCCAGATGCAAACGAAATACGGACAGCCGGGGGTAAGCAAAAGCCCGCTTTCCTGCTTCCACGGCCATATCGTATGGATATGAGAAACAGGCCAAGTAATGAGCACTTGACAAAGCCTTGTTCAACCTCGATGATTAAGGCGACACAAGACATCGAGGGAAGCCGACCGGGAAGCAGAAGAAGCAGAAGAAGCAGAAGAAGCAAAACGCAGCAGTACTCTGTGACAGCTCTGAGAGCGAACAACAGGGGACTTGCCGGGCAGTCCATTGGGACATTGACGGCTTGTGTCGAGGACGCGAGCACCGGGGCTCCGAGGTTTTGTCTGAAATGTCCAAGTAGTGTCAAAGGTGCGGATAACCAGTGTCTAAGGTGCGTATAAGCCGTCAGCGCTGTCCAGCGTGTCGGGTGCGTGCTGTCCAGAGCGGGCCTCACGCTCTTTGACGTCGACGGACTTTCGCCCCGAGGCTGACAGCCAAGATGTTTTCGACGACCTGTTTTCGACAACATGTTTTCGACAACCTGTTTTCAATAACCTGTTTTCATGGAAAACGACATTTGGAGCACATTGGCGCAGAATTATGTGACTCGCGTTCTGCAAACCGTCTTTCTCTCGTCATGACTCCATACCTGGCACTTCCTCTCGCTTTCCAACAACTCCCTCTCTTCTCTCCACACACTACCGCGTTGCACAGCGGCTGCTAAGGCTCGATGGCTTGCACTCCGCATAGCCGGTCTTGCCCAAGCAGCACCGAGGGATGCGACTATCTACAAATATGAAAAACGCCTCAAAGGCGGTGACGGGGGAGCGGGAACGTGCCATTTCGATCGATCGGGTTGTGCTGGAGAGGTCGGCTGCTGTTCTCTTCTGTTCCAGTCCAAGTGTCGTGTCTACACGCCGCTCTTCCTCCTGACTCTAGGGTCTCTTGATTCCTGCGTCGTTCAGCTCTCGGTGCTATGGCGTCCAGGTGTCTCTGCGTCCTAGCGTCAAGGCTGAAGCGCATCCTGGCTTCTGTGTCTTTCTGGGATGCAGCTGCTTCACATGGACGAGGAACACTCTGATGGCCGATGAGTGGCTCAGCCAAGTGGCCGAGCCCTGTTTGTGCCATCTCCCCGTTCTGTGTCTTCTCTTGGCCTGGATCTGACGTAGGGAGGAAGCTGCATGATGAAAGAAAAGAATAGAAATAGAAATAAATAGACAAGCATAACCAAACTCTGCAAACCAGCCAACGCCTCCAGACTCAACTGCAGGCCGAGCCCGCATCCAGCGTTTTCTCGACGCTCCTGTACGCTCGCACATTTGCACATCTGCACAACACCGCGCCACCTTGGCCCCTGTTGATGTTCCCCTTCCTTGTCCTCTGATGTCCCTTCCTTGTCTTTTCTGGTCTCTCTTCCGAGAGTTAATGAAGAATACCAGGCTGCGCACGTCCCACTTTATTCGTTTTGTTTTGCAGTCTCCCTCGGGTTCCCGTGATGAACGCAGACGCTTCTGCTTCTGCTTCTGCTTCTGCTTCTGCTTCTGGGGCGCCTGGTCGATCCTTGTTCACTCCCCTGTCTCCTTTCTTGCGTCTCTTTATTCTTTTTATTATTCTTGTTTTTGTTTTTTGTTATTTTGTTTTGTCTGGTTTTGTATTGTTTGTCCCTCCCCTCTGATCTGACGCTTTTCCCTGGTCTGCCTACTCATCATCGTCCTACCCTCTTTGTTTCGTTTTCTTCTTATAATCCCACCATCGTCCACGCTCGTCTCGTTTGTTTCCTTGCTCCATTCCCGTTCTTGTCCTTCTTTCTCTTTCATCTTTCGTTCCGTGTTTGTGTTTTCCGTGGTCGACGCCGTCTTCTCTCGCTGGCGGAACTCGTCTTTGGGCCTGTCCGTTCACTTTACGCCTTCATCTTGTCTTGATTCAACGCCCCCTCCGTCTTTCTTTGCTGCTTCTATTCGTTTTTGGCGTTATTATTCTTTTGTTGTCGTGTTTCATTTGGATCCGACTCGACACATCACTCACTAGCATCGATTATTTACAACATTACAACGTGTACTAACCATTCCCATCTCTACCGTGTGAAAATGGCGCGATTCAGCCTCCTGCCAGCCCTGGCTTCCGTGCTTCTTGCCTCGCGGACGCTGGCAGCCACCGTGACGGTCAACTGGGACATCACGTGGGTCAACGCCGCGCCCGACGGCTTTTCCCGGCCCGTCATCGGCATCAACGGCGCCTGGCCGTGCCCCACGCTCGAGGCCAACGCCGGCGACATCATTCAGCTCACCATCAACAACCAGCTGGGCAACGAGACGACGGGCCTCCACTTCCACGGCATCGACCAGGTGCAGACGCCGTGGATGGACGGCCCCAGCGGCGTGACGCAATGCCCCGTCCCGCCCGGCTCGTCCGTTACGTATACGTTTGTGGTCGGTTTCTGCCCCTTTCTTTCCTGTCACTGCGGTTTCGCGGAGCACAACACTTTCTAACCTGCTGTAGGCCAATGCCCCGGGAACGTATTGGTGTACGTACTGGCCGGCGGCCTGAGGACGATCGATGTGACGATGTGACGATGTGATGGAATGCAGAGGAAATGCTGACTCGCCTGCAGACCACTCCCACAACATGGGGCAGTACCCCGACGGCCTGCGCGGCCCCTTCATCGTGCACGATCCCAACGACCCGTATGCCGGCAAGTATGACGAGGAGATCGTCCTGACCGTCTCGGACTGGTACGTCACGGCCGATGTCTGATTTCCTACGGCCATTCTTCCTTCCTGGCTGACCGCCTAGGTACCATGACCAGTCCATCACGCTCGTCCAGAACATGCTCGAGTCCAGCAACACGCAGTTCCTGCCGCCGTTCCCCGACGGCATCGTCGTCAACGAGGGCCGCGGCGCCAACATTTCCTTTGCCAACAACAAGACGTACCGCCTCCGCATCATCAGCTTCGCCGCGTTTGCGTCCACCCTGCTGCACTTTGACTCGCACACCATGCAGGTCATCATGGCCGACGCCTCGTACGTCAAGCAGGCCCAGGCGTACCAGCTGCGCATCGCGCCCGCCCAGCGCTACGACGTTCTGATTTCCGGCGTCGCGCGCGACCACCGCAACTACCCCTTCCTGCTGTCCCTCGACATCAACCGCGACTTTGCCAACGACCCGCCCCAGGCCGTCGTCTGGCCGCACAACGCCACCGGCTACCTGGTCATGGACCCCAGCGGCGCGTTTCCGCAGGACGTCGTCAGCCTCTGGCAGCCGGTCGACGACGTGTCCTTGCGGGCGCTCGACGGCGCGGCGGCCTACGGCCCGGTGGCGCAGACCATTACGCTCAACTTTGACTTTTGCACCGACGCCAACGGCCTGCCGCGCGCGTGCTTCAACGGCCAGCCGTACATTGCGCAAAAGGTGCCCACGCTCTACTCGGTGGCCACGACGGGCGCCAACAACACGAACCCGGCCGTCTACGGCGACGTCAACCCGTTTGTCCTGGCGACGGGCTCCGTCGTCACCGTCGTCGTCAACAACCTGGACACGGCCATCCACCCGTTCCACATGCACGGCCACCAGTTCCAGGTGCTCGACCGCCCCGCCAGCAACGCGGGCGTCTGGGGCGGCCACAACCGCACGTTCCCGGCCAGCCCCATGCGCCGCGACACCATCTCCGTCAACCCCAACTCGTACGCCGTGCTGCGCATCCAGATCACGAACCCGGGCGTCTTCTTGTTCCACTGCCACATTGAGTGGCACGTCGAGATGGGCCTGACGGCGACCCTGATTCAGAGCCCCGAGCTGCTGCGCAACGCCTCGTTCCCGCAGGACCACATTGACAACTGCATCAAGCAGGGCATCCCGTACCAGGGCAACGCCGCCGGCAACACGCAGGACGTGCTCGACACGAGCGACTTTTTGACCGTGCCGCCAACGACGTACACTGGGTATGTCTGTATTCTTTTTTTTTTTTTTTTTTTTTTTTTTTTTTTTTTTTTTTTGGCCGCCAGACCTCCCGCTAACACTGCCAGTGCTTTGTATTCGGCTGCCACGGACTGTCCTGCTCCGCTACGCGCACGTCGCGTGAGACGCCATCTGGACTGAGGTGCACAGATGGGCTTTGATGTGCTTCCACATCGTCTTATAATGTTGGCCCCATTTTGGCATATTGCCATTCGATTCTTTTCAAAGCCATGCTTCAGGGACCCCGTCCCGCCTTGTGTTTGACCAAAAAACGATACTATTACGACCACGGAGAAAACCGAGGCTGCTGGCTATAATTTATATGTTGGGGAGTTTTGCTACCAAGGAGTTTTACCAAGATTTATTTTCGTGGATTTGTGGATTTGTGGATTTATGGATTTATGGATTTTGTTTTATTTCTTCTCTACATTTGTTGTTCTTTATTACTACAATTTAATGCTCACCTGGTCGACAACACCCAAGTCTTGGAGCAACCATGCAAAGGGTGTATCTCGTTGTTCTTTGCATCCCAGTGATATGCGACACTCCGCGTTGCGCCGATATATCGAGTATTGCTATCCTGGACTCCCCTGCAAACCACAAGACCTCCCAAGCTGCAACGGCCTCCAACCAAACGGATGATACGTGGACAACCACGGATCACTGAAGGTACTTAATGATGAGTGATAGCACAGCATCGTCGTAACCACGCAGGCGCGTCGGACAAGCGCCCGGACTACGCACAAGGTAGACAAAGGGCCTTGAACTATCACAAAGGCGGCCTCCGGACCACCGGAGTCTCATCCACATCCACGTTCGGAGTAAAGAGCCTCAATGGTCGGACACAGACAGAGTTCTCGTGTATAAATCCTCGGAGATGCGACTGGTGTCCGGGATTTATTTCGGGCAGAAAGTAGCATGGAGAGGAAGCACGCAGACGTACATGACCACAACACGAGCGCAGATTGCCAAAGAACGAACTTTGGGCGCCATCTGTACGTGCAGCACCTGCCGCTGCCTGCATTGTCGACAACGTGGCATTCTGGCATCGCAATTCTTTTTTGTCTTTCTCTCTTTTTTTTTTTTCTTTCTTTTTTTTGACAGGATATCGTGGCGGCTGGTCGAGGAGAAAGGATCCGGGATGGGTCCGAGGAGAATGACAGATGCAGTCCAGGCGCATAAATGGCCAGCTGGCGACGGTGCACAGGCACCATTTCGAGGCAAACTGTCGCCGCATACTTTGATTGTGTGTTTTGCGAGCATCCTTTGCGGTGTACGAGCGGCACGACAAAGGCCAAAATCGACAACAAACTTGGTCTAAACCATCCGGGAATGAGCCAACCGTTCACAGTCGCCTGCTGTCTCGCCACACCTCTGTCAAGCCCCGAGTAGCACATTTGCAGACACAGGTTGCACCGACTGCCCCGACTCTGCAGGCCGAGGCCCTCCGAGCCAGTCATGCTATCCTTGCGGAGCAACGGCAGACATCGACACGATGGCGATGCATACAGAAACAAGCAGACGCAGAAGCACAAGCAGACGAGACGCAGAGACAGTGGCGGAACACGAGGCTAGCTGAAACGGCCTTTCATTGTGCTGCTTCTGATTTATTCATCTACTTTTCTATTATTCTTTCCTTCCTCCCCCATGTCTACAAAGTCACAAAACGCCGGCCACATCTCCACGTCCGACCAGGGCAGGCTGCCCATCCAGATTGTGCACGCTTGCTACGCTTGCTGTCTTGCTGTCTTGCTGTCTTGTTGTTTTGCTGTCGTGTTATCTTACCGTGTGCTCCGTACCTCGTTTGACAGCTTCTACGTTACATCACCGGAGGTTTCCAGCAAGGCCAGGGGCAGGAAAGGCTCGACACTCCCTTCCCTTGTCACCGTGGGTGGTTGCACAAGTCAGGTCAGGTCAGGTGCAGGCCGCGTTCTCGTGTTGGACCTGTCGCATTGCACGTTGGCGGCTAGACGACCACCGTCTGCCGTTACACGCACACTGCAAGCCATTATTCTAGACGATAAAGGTGACAAGAAGCTGGCACACAGCCAATGTCCACATGTAAGTGGCTCCAGCTAGAAGTATTGTATTGTCCAACACGCACTGTTGCACAACAGCATCGACCTTTGTAGCGAAAGAAGGCCAAAATAAAAACAGCAGCAAACTTAGAAAACATGCAAATAGCACACACCGGAAAAGAGGGCCACTGCCCTTCAACCAGCTTCTCGGGAGAGCCAATAGACTTGCTGGGACCGGCACAAACTCGGCCAGCACAGAGACACTGCGATAGTTTGTGTAATTTCCGGGGGAACCAACCGGTTGCAGAAACACACGAAAACAAGCACGACGACAAGAATCAGAGAAGCCAGAGACGGCTGATGACGGGGTCAGCGTCCTGGTATGCCAATGCAAAACAAGCTCTCAGGTGCAGATGCTTGTGTGCACGTTGCTATTTCGGATTTCATTTAGCCATACGTTTGCTCCGTTTGCTCCGTTTGCTCCGCTTGCGACGTTTTGCTCGTATTGCCATTCTATGTGCAGAGTGACTTCTTCCGTGCATTCGTTTATTCCCACTAATCTGCAGCCAGTCGTGTCTCTAGCATATCTTCCCTCCTCTCTTCATCCTAAACACTGCCGTTAGATACGCAGGAGAGAGTCTGAGAGAGTCTGAGAGAGCCTGCACACCGAGACAAGTCCAGCAACTGCACGGTGAGAATTAGATAAGCTCCATATGTTTCGGTCATCCACTGCGTACTATGTGTCAGTCACCGTCTTCATCAGGAGGCGTTTTCGTAGTGGCTTGCAGCGTCGATCACGACGCCGCCAGCGTCAGACAAACGCTGCATAGAGGCCGTTCCAGAGAAGGCCCATCAATGTACTGGCAGTCAGCTCTGCGTCCATTCAGAATCCACGCACACAGCATGTCCCCAAGACCACATTAGGAGTGCCACATGCAGGCCGTACGCAGATAAACGGCCGTGTCTCTTGTGTCTCTGTGTCTTTCGTGTGTCTTTAGATCCCCAAGATTAAGTTTTTTAAGTAAAATAAAACAGCCACCAAGCCCCCCACTGTCCAGAGCTGAAACCAGACGTGCGGGTAACTACTGTACTTGGTGATCGCGTCGGTACCGGGTAAACAAGGAAATGGGTGGGCGTGTGCATCGTCGTTGGCTTGCTCGAGCAGCGAGTCTCATGCATGTCTTTTTCGCCCCTTCTCAGCCCTCGCTGCCCTCGCTGCCCTCGCACGTTAAACCTGTCTTTGATTTCTCTGTGCCTTGTGAATCTGCATGCAGCATGCATCTGAGACGATGTAGGTGTGTCAGAGCCGGAGGTCCGGGGGGAGGGAGGGGCATGGCTCACGCCAGCGAGCCTTCCTTTTGTCCTTCTAGACGCTCCTGCAAACACCATCAGCCATGAGCTGGAACCACTGGAACCGCCGGTCTTTTGTACAAGAACACCCCCCCAAGATGTCGAGGAATGCAAAAATTTGGGAAGTGGGCAGTGGGAAGTGGATGTCAGGCAATAATTTTTTTCTTTATCGTTGCCCATCGTGGCCGATCTGAGAAGGACGTAAGACAGCGCGAGGATGCCAGCCGCCTCAGGAACTGGCATCAGGAACTGGCACCCGGAGGAGCCGTCTGCCGGTGGGTGGGAAACAGTGGGCAAAGGAAAACACACACAAGGACAGCCACAAAACGGGTTCCCAGGCTGTGCAGAGCGGATAGCAGGACGCCGGAACCGGAAAACGAGCATGCAATTCAGCCACCCCGAATGATATTCTGAAAAGAACAATGCGGTAATCTAAGAAACAAGTTCAGCAGCAGAGAGAGCGCCGTGGCGCCGTATGTTGCAGTGCACTTTGTGACCAAAGGATTGCGCCCATCGCGCCATCGCTTACTCCGTGCTCCTTCGTCTTTTTCACGCGGCCGCAGATGTGCAGACCGCTCCCATCACTCATCACCTATGTTTGTTTATTTTTCTTAGCTTTTGCTGACTCTCAGATGTCTGATGTGTGTGTCTTGTCGTTCCAACCACCACACCCATTGCCCGTCTCTTTTCCAATGACGTATTTCGGGTCCCGGCAGGTCGAAGTACGATGGATTTGAAAGCACAGCGGGATGTAGTAGTAAGACATCAGCGGTCTAGACCGAGATACGGAGCATAAGGCTGACCGCAGCTGTCCGATGATCCGTGCTTCCTATCGGCACCGATGTGCTTTTGCCTCCCTTGTACATGCAGCGATGCCGGCTGGGTAAGCATCCGCGGCTTCGATGACCAATGGGATTTCCAATCAGTTCGAGGTGTTGGAATGTTTCAAGTTTTGGTAATCTTGATTCTACTTTTCGATTAAGTTTTTCACAGAAAACGAAAAGACAAGAATGGAATAATGTTTTCATAATTGTCAGCTTCGTAACAGACGAGATCTGAACTGTGGCCCAGTGGCCTCACCGCAACAAAATCGAGATTTTGGCTCTATGTATTTTGCACGATTGGAGATCGACTGCTTCTGCACACTTTACAATCTACTCCACCGCTAGTTTGGGTTGTTGTGGCCTCTGCTTTTCACAAACTGTCACGTCGACGGCACAGGCCAGAAACGTAAATATGGACTATATTGCCTCCGCACCGCGTGACCGGAGGTCCACGACGCTCTGCTTTACCTTTACGAAATGACGCAAGTCCATGGCGAGTTTACCGGACTCGTGGGAAATGCAGGCGCAAATAGTATTGCGTTATAGTGAATAGCACGTCTGTAATATAATATTTTATTTGCCCTTCTTTATGTGCTTTCGTCTCACTTAAATACTGCGGCGCGAGTCACCAAACATACCATGGAGAAGTAGCTACGACAGAGACAATGGGACAGAAAGTAAAATGCCAGAAAAAAGTAGATAAAAGTAAGAGAAGTAGAAATTTAAACAATTGTAAAAGCAAAAAGAAGGATAATTCTGCGGTCAAGTACAATAGACGTTGACTGTGCAAGCCAATTGGTTCTTGTGGTGTCCTTGCCCATCGTGCCTGCCAGTGCCATCCTCCGTAATTGCCTAATTGCGTTAGCGTCTCTCTCTCCATCCGCAACGCAGGAAAGAACAAGCTCGGAATGGATACCTGAATACGACGTGCTATTGTATTCTGTAGGCG